TACTACTGTTGTTGTGATCATGATAGGGTTGTTACCAGATTTTTTTCTTTTGGTGTTCATGCTTCATAAGCAGTGTTCATTCCTGTTGACTTGTTAATTATTTGTTCTTACTCAAAAATTACAAAAAGGCTCAGTAGAAATAGTAGCAATAATACTAGGAATGTATTGATTCTTCTTCTTCTTCTTATACAGATTGTCAGACTATTCAAGAGAGCTTGTTATCCAACAATTGTGCAAACAATAATTGGTGGTCATCCCACATTTGGGGGATGTTTTGCTGCTTCCTCTTCTTGTTGAACAGACATTTTAAATTACTAAAATGTTACTGGTAATGCCTGGTCAAGCATGCACAGAGCACCTCCATGAGTTAATATCCATACTTCAAAAATGCAATAAATTCTTTGTTTCCTTCAAGGATCTTGCTAAGATAGTATTGTTAGTAAGAAGAGATGTTAGATTGGAACTGCTGATTGGCTGTAGTAGCCAGCAATGAATTGTAGAAGTACTAGCTAGCAGCACTAATAGACTACTACCTACTACTACCTACTACCTACTACTACTACTAGTAGTATTAGTAGTAGTAGTAGTAGTAGTAGTAGTAGTAGTAGTAGTAGTAGTAGTAGTAGTAGTAGTAATTTACAACAAGAGTGCTTGCTGCAACTTTATTACAAGAAATATTTTAAATATAAAAAATATAAGCAACATTACTGTGAACAGCAATGCAAAATTGATTATCTAGTAGTAGTGTCTCAAACAATACCTAGCACTACTACTACTACTAGTAGTATGTTGTTATCTGGATTTTTTGTTTTGGTATCATAACTAGCAAAAAATTCCTCCTCCCTCTACTACTACACTAGTACTATTAGTAGAAAAGTTTGAACTTCTTGCTGCTAGTTCTAATATTAGCGCTAGTATTGCATACTGGTACTAATAGACTAATTGGACCAATACTACTAGTAGTAGTACTACTCCTAGCTAGTACTAGTACTACTACTGTTGATCATGATTGTCATTCTTGTTGTTGTTGCATTTTGACATATCCTCTTTGTCAAGAAGAAGAAGTTGTCACCAGTGCAAGAAAAATCTTCCCTCCCTTCATAATACTAGAACTGGTTTGGAATATCACTACTGGCTGTAGTAGTACTACTAGTAATGCTAACATAAAAATACTGGAATTAGCATGGAGTTGAGGCTGTTGGTGAATCATCTTAAACTGAGTATGTGCTGGCATATACTCAAGGCATTTTTCTTCAAAGGAACAAAGGTGTTGGTTGAATACTAGGGCTGGGGTTGTTGTTGTTGTTGTCAGTATAGATGTCAGAAACAACAACATCATGACTGGAATCTTCATCTTCTGTGAGTCTGTAAATACTGGAACAACTGGTACATGGTGCTAAGGCTGGTGAATCTTATTTGAACTGGGTATTTAGTATGATATACTCCAGGCATTGTTCTTCAAAGGAAAGGTCTTGATTGAATGCTGGGGGCTGGGGGTCTTTTTGGTGTTGTCCAACAAAAATACCAGAACTTCAAGACCAGAAGATACTTCCAGAGAAACAGGGAAGGGATCCAGCTGAGGCAATCTGTCAGCAGCTGGGGCTAAGAAGGAATAAGGATACTTATCAAAATCCATGAGCTTGGTTCTTTTTGTCTGTAATTGAGACCAGGGAGGTGGGTTTTCCCCTTCCAATGGGGATGTCATCATGGTGGTTTGGATGGCAGAAGGTGCTGGTCAGGTATGTACAGTACTGTGTAGGAAGCAGTAGCAAATCTAGGTGATGATTTTCAGAAGCAAAGTGTAATTCCATGCATTTTAAAAAAATGGTTTGAAAATCATAGTAATGCTAACATTGTATCAGAGTACTTGACAGTGCTCGACTGTAATTCTCAAGTTGCTTGCTTTTTGCTTGCAATCATACATGTGTGAATACTAAACTGATAATAACATTGCGCACTAAGAAACACAAGTTTTTTGGTCTTATGTCTTGCACCTTGATGGAATTCAAACCTGAAATACATGATTACTGTATTCCAATATTGTACTCTGCACCTTCCCCATGGCCAAACCCAAAATTATAAACATAGTTGCTTACACCACTAATCCAGAGACCAACAATCCAGGAGATAAATTATGTATGAGGTGTTCACAAGGAAGGTGCTTGTGGTGGATGGGATGACCAAGGACCACTTATTCTACAACAAGCATTTAATAACTGGAAAAACTAATGCTGTAAGCAGAGAGATTAAGGATAGAGCACTCAAAATTTGGGCATGGCACTTAAAGAACGCCAAGACAGGTGGTTCCCTGGACACTAGCACTATGAGTGTAAGGATTCAGCAGCTTTTTGTTGCTCTTCTTGAAAGGGATGTTCAGTTCTACAAAGGAGGTTTTAAAGGAAAATGGGGCTTTCAGGCCTTCATTGAACACAATTACAATGTCAAGCATCAAGCTGATCCTCTAGCTGGAACCACGAGGACAAGGGAGAGTTTGGTGAGTATGTAGACAAAAAGTTCCAGAATGTATTGACTTATGGTACATACAAGCCTTATGACAATATATAGGGCTTCGTAAAGCTACTAGCAATGGAGCTTGGAAGAGAGTTTGGAATTAGGGGGGTGACTGAGCTTGTTGTACTCAGGTGAGGATGGGAACCTTTAAGAACAGATGCAAGAAAGGACTGAAATATGTTATCATGGGGCCAGGTGGGGGCTTTGACAAGTCACACCAACTGCCTCTTAATAATTCAACTGTAACAAGGCAGTCCCCATCTGTGGTTGAAGATCCTGGTAATAAAACCTGTGTTGTAAAACTCATCCACTTTTATCATGTGAGGTGTGATCCAAAGCAAGAGTGATTCCTTTGCCTCCCTAACTTAAAGAGGAATAATAATAATCCATACTTTTTCAAGGGGGCTGCTCCTGTAATTATTGGATTTATTCAAACATGGGTTAAAGAGTCTGCTGAAGTGTCTGGCTTCAAAGTTTGGGAGAAGTACACTCCTCATGGCAGTAAGTATACATGCTACACAATCCTTGCCTCTGATCTTGCTGTTCCTGAAAAGATGAGGATGAATCATCTACAGCACAACAGTAATAAGTCAGTAGAGCCTTGCATTCATCAGAATCCAGTGATTCAACAAGCTTTACAAGGTGTCCTTCATGGTGGGCTCCATGGTATCAAAAATTTCCCAGAAGCAGTTGCAAACAAAAGAGTTGTGGTTGCAAAAGGAGGAGAGGTTCCTCCTTCCAACAGTGCTGCTGGTCTCAACACCATTAAAAATGCTAGCTGTGCCTCCAGAGTTTAGTAGTATTAAAGGAAGGAGCAATGCGTCTACTGATGCCAACAAGAAGCACCTGCCCAAAAGGCAGGAAACAACAGTCACACTAACAAATGGAATTCTAAAGAAAGAACTTGATATCATTAAAGGATCACCATGTTGGCGATAATTTTTATTGGAAGGGTGTCATAACCTGTGGGAGTGACTAATAGTGATGTAAATTGAGCGCTAGAAGTTTAGTGAGTCAATGCTCTTATCAAGGATCCATAAACTATGAAATCCAAGCCAATCAAAATGGAGATTGAGTGATGTGTGAATTGGATGACTCAAGTCACTCACGCAAGTGAATGAACTGAGTCATGTTGATCGTATGGATCTATAGGATCAAGTGAGTCATATATGTATGGTGGTGTGTATGAATCATAGATATGTGTCATATGTATGTATCATATATATGAATCATACCCACAATCTGATATCCTACAGACAGCAGKAATATGCAAAAAGAAAAAAGAATTAGATGATTTTGAGCAAACAACAAACAGGATCAGATGTCAACTGGAAGACGCCCATAGGACAAATACGCAGCTCAACAACAAGATTTCAACACTCACTGAGGATTTGCAACAGAGGAAGCTGTCCAACAAAATCCAGGAGTTGAAAGATACATGCAACCAAAAGGAGCTTGCTTGGGAGCAAAGCAAAAGATCCCAGCTTGAAAAAAAAACTGAAGATGTCTCAGCACTTCTTGAAGGAGCTTGAGGAAGCACGCTGCGGAGACCAATACCCCTGTTCAATTTTTATTTGAACAAACTGCCATTGGCATTGAAAAAAGAAAGCTTTCTTGTCTATTTTATGACACCATGCAGTGGAGCTGACACCATGAAAAATTTTGTAATCCATAAAATGAAAATTAGAATTATCAGGAAACAACTTCCTTCTAAGTGGCATTGACTGAAGCTTCTTGTTGCTTTCAAACAACAATTATCAGTCAGTGCTTCATGGCTCTTTGTTGTCTTTTACTAGCTAGTCCCCAGCCTCTTACTCATGGCAATTACAAGCAAAAAGCAAGAAACTCAACAACAATGACATAAAAAATTGGCAAGTTCAATGCAAGAGGGGAGCAGCACCAACAGAATAGGAGCCTTAACCATCAGTTTGCAGTGCTCACTACTACCATAACATCCCCACCACTAGTAAGTAGTAATATAGAGGTTATCCAGTAGTAAGCACTAATGGAAATTTTCAAGTAGTAGAAAGTGAAATAACCTCTCCAGTAGTAAGGACAACTAATAGAAATATTTCKGGACACTTTGTGTGGAGGGGGGGGAGAGGGGAAATAGTAGACATGAAAATGAAAAAAATGACAGCCGGGGAATTGCCAAAAACTTGCTTTTATGGGGCCCGTACTTGGTAGCTCTAGTACTACCTAACGTACATGACGTGCATAATAATTCAACGGATTTGTCTGTCTGTCCGTATCGCAAGAGTAATTCTGTCTGTCGTCGGATTCTGTTCAGGAAATTTTGTACGCAGCAGACTTGATTCCATGCTTGCCCTTAACTTGTGCTTTTGTGCTTACGTTTTTCATAAAAAGTTATTTGTTCGTACCGTACGGTACGGTATGGTACGTACCTGTACTTGTACTCGTACTTGAGAAGCTGATTCACTGCTTAGCCTGACTGAACTAGGGAAGAACCCTGCTTTCAAACCCAAAACCAATCCATTTCACTCACCGCTTTCTGCAAATCAAGAAGGGATCCCAAGCCTACATTTACTTGACTGTTTTGTACACAGAAAATCAAATCACGGGCGAGACTTTAGAATCGGTTGAAAGTTAGTGTCACGGCACGATGTTGAAAGTTTTCGGTAGTTATAGCCTTTTTTCCTGCTTCATTTTGATATCATGTTGCCGTAGGATGATGCCCTTGGCGGCAGCCTTCCGTCCATCTGGCCTTTCTCCTCGTATGGTGCCATCCACATTCTCGCAAACAAACCGCGTCGAGAACGACAGAACATCATCATCCCCGACAGCTCTTTTCATGGGCAAGGGCAAGGGGAAGAAAAAGGGAAAAGGTGGCCCCCCCCCCGCCGGCAAAGGCTTCGGAGGGGCTATCGCCACAGATTCTCCAATCGACAAATTTCCTTACGCCGGTACCGTGCGACCGGGAATTCAATCCCCGCAACGAAAAGTTATTCTATCCAGCGAAGAAGCCAAGAAAATACTTCCCGACTACGCCCTCGACGGTCGGCCCAAAAAGGGCAGCAATTCGCCTCTTCTGCCGTGGGTGATCGAGGTCAAGAAGCCCGAGGAAATCGAAAAGATGAGAGTCTCGGGGAAACTGGCACGGGAAATCCTCGATCTTGCCGGAAGAGCCGTAAAGCCAGGAATCACGACGGACGAAATCGATACCATTGTGCACGAGGCTATCTTGGCGGCGGGTGCTTATCCATGTACGTTGCCTTGAGCTTATGTGGGTAGGATTGCGATCACGATTGCGATTGGATTTGCGCGCTCTATGACGATCTGTCGATAGAAAACCTTTGAAAACTACGAGCCAAGGACATTTTGGTGGTACAACGCGTTCTTCGAATCACTCACTTTCTTCTTTATCGGTGTTTTTGTTTGTCGTTCGCGTGAATCTATTTTGTTTGACGAGTAGCTCCACTGAACTACCACGGATTTCCAAAGAGTTGCTGTACGAGTGTAAACGAGGTGATTTGCCACGGAATTCCAGACGATCGGAAACTAAAGGATGGGGATGTTGTCAATATCGATATCACGGTATACCTGAACGGCTACCACGGAGACTGCAGTGAAATGTTTGTTGTAGGCGACATCGACCAACAGGGGAAGGCTCTGCTGCAGGCAACATACGATTGCTGGATCAAAGCCTGCGAGTTTGTTCAGCCCGGCAGGGACTACAAAGAACTGGGGGCCATCATGGAAGACCACGTTGTTCCTCTTGGCTTTTCTTCCGTCCGAAACTTTTGTGGTCACGGAATTGGCAGCGTCTTCCACACCACTCCCAACATCCTGCACTACCGCAACAACGAACCCAACGGACAAATGGCGAAAGGGCACACATTTACGATCGAACCTATGATCTGCGAGGGGAGCAACAAGGTTCTGAACTGGCCAGACGACTGGACGGCCACGACCGTTGACGGAAAGCGTTCGGCGCAATTCGAGCACACCCTCGTAGTAACATCTGACGGAGTGGAAGCACTGACGTGCAAGAACGAGAACTCCATGCTTCATTTCTGGGAAAAAGAATCGGAGGTTTACAAGGGCTTTTGGCTAGGATCTTCCGAGGCCGCTAAGGAGCGAGCCGAAGCTCTCAATACGAAAATATTAGGTGACTTATAGCCAGTCAACCCAAAGCCTGCGCGACAGCAAAGTAGCGAAACACTAAATGATTTAGTTTCATGGCTAAGCTTTCTCTGTCTCTCTCTATTGGGAGATACAAAGTCTTATACCAAGTCTTTGTACTACCGCGCGCGGTTAATTTCTTTACTAAGAGTCCTTGTGTAGTTTTTGCCGATCCTGTTCGTTGAAGATTTGTTGTACGCGGCTCTAATGGACCACGTATGCCATGGTGCTGCTACCAAGTATTGTTACGTGCGAAGTTTGGAAGTTGCCGAGCATAACTTGCGGAAGTCGCTCAACACAACACGGACGACAACAACAATCTTCTACTCCGAGTACGGTGCGAGCACGAGTACTCGCAGTAAAAACATGGCAGAAGATAACATCTCGAAAGTTGTAGACAAAATGGGCCCAAGTCATATCGTAGTCGAAGGGCCATCTCCTTACTCCGCAGTCAGTGCAGGATTATCTACCATAGATCAATCACTCATACCAAAGAAAAACTAGGAAGTGCAGACACAAAAACAAAACGTAGCTCTCGCGCTCTCGTGCGAGGCCTAGTGTGTTGCTTCCATTTGTTTCCAAATTCAAAGTGAAGAACTTCAATTGTCCTTGTACTCATTACAATTTCTAAAAAAAAATCTTAATATTATATTTAACCTTGTGAACTAGAAGAGGCACTTGGATGGCCAGAACAATAGCTTTAGAAAGAATGCTTCTAGCTGCTCCGAGGGGCGCCTCCGAGGAGGTTTTGTGGAGGTGCGACCAGACTCATTACAATTTCTACTACATTCTACATAGCTAAGTTTTTAAAACTGTTACAGGATTACTGAATGCCTTGATTCTGATTTCATTGCTGTGCGTTTCAAAACATAGCTACTAATCTTCTTAGGAGGAGGTAAAACAAACCCAGCATTAGTCATTATTTTTGAAGCATTTCCACAAAAGCTCTTTAGAATGTAGTAGAAGTTGTACCAGGACATTTGAGGTTCTTGACCACTATGAATTGAATGTAGTAAACACTTCAAATTGAAGCTTTAAACCAATCAGTGTCACTGTATTCAATAGTTATGTTGTGCACAGTATTCTACTAGTACTAGTACTATTGATTATATTTGTATTCCATTCATTCATACTTTGTTGGTGAAATGCAATAGAATTAGTATTACAGCCTTCCTATTACCACTGTTCCTTGCTACTAGTATGCCTTAATTTCCTTCTAGAATGTGGAAAGACACCAGACAGGAGAAAAACATACCACACAGTCCCACAGCCTAATTCACATTATCAGTATAATATACTACAAGTGCATACTACTACTAAGTACTTCCTCCAGTCTACTATATCATGTGTCATTGTAGCACGTTTACTATCAAAATAAGCTCAATATATGGTGGATTTCAATACTTCCTCTTTTGTTTCACAGATCTATCATAAATGTATACAAGCATATAGATCGTATTAATTGAAAGTGTCTGACATACTTGTGGTATTTAGTTAAAGAGAGCCTTTTTTGGCATATCAATGTGATTTTACCTTCAGTTGGTGGGTTGTAAGGGTCATTTTGATACACCACTACTTACACATGATAGCTAAGAGTGACAAATTTTCAAGGCTGTAATTCTCTTTAGTACAGAGAACTTTCTTGTATTGGTCATTCTTGTTCAAAAGAGGTGCCCATTACCATTGTCAATGCAAACTTTAGAGTTCACTGTATTAATGGAGGGTATTTTAATGTGTAAGAATTAAAATAATTTTTATTCATGTCCATGCATATTTTTAGTCCTCAGTACTGATTGTACATGTCCTGCACAGCCAGTCATCATTAGTAAAATCCAACTGCCAAAAAACTCAAAAACTGTTAAGTAAAGTGGAGACACATATACAGGACCAACAAAAACAGGTTACAATGACACATATAGTAGTGGACCAGAGGAAGTATGTATTTATTAATTCTATAACAAAGTATGCTATTGGTTACTCTTCTAAAGAAAATTAAATGCTGTAGTGGTTACTCTCCTACAGAAAAGTAAATACTACTACCTCTGTTCCAAAACAATGTTACACGTTGCCCTACTCTATTTTTTCCAAAATAGTTGTACAGTTTTTTGAGTTTTTGGCTGTTGAATTCCATGAATGACTTTGTAACGTGTGTAGCATCAGTGCTAGAGAGTCAAAACATTCAATTTCACACATTTGAAAATTATTTTTGCACATGAAATTTACAAGTCCACTAACACAGGAAACAAAACATTGACAATGGTACAACGCAGCACCTCTTTTGAACAAGAATGACTAATGTAGTAAGAAAGTTATCCCCAATAATTAGAAGGAAAGCCTCATCATAACTACTCTTGGCTATTGTATGATACAAGTAGCAGCATATCCAAATGACCACTCAAATCCAACTGATGGTAAACTCATATTCATATGCAAAAATGACTATTTTGAATAGCTGTAATAAGCTCACTAATAGGAGGTACGAGTACTTGCCCCAATGATAAAAGTGTATTCTATTGAGAAAAAATGTTGAGCTTAATCTAGGTCAAGGGATGCAAACTCTACTATTATTTTGGAATGGAGGTGGTAGTACAGAATTGATTACTTCTTCAAGTACAAGTACTGAGACACTACAACTCTCGCAAGAGGGGCTTGTTCAGAAGAAGTCTCTTGGCTGCAACAGGGATCACAATGACTTCTTTGTTCCATCTTGTAAAGTGTGGCAAAATTGGAAAGCATAACAGAAATGCCAAACCTTTACTAACACCTGCAATTGTGAAACTCAAGAGACTTGAGTGGATACTGAGGCATATTGATGAGAACAGAAGATTTGATGACTGGTTTAAATGGATTCATATCAATGAGAAACGGTTCTATTTGAAGAGAAAAAGACAAACTATGTACTTCTATTAGCTGACAAAAATGGTCCAAAGTCAACATCAAAGTCCAAGAAGAACCACCAGCACATGAGTACAAAGCCCAAGCCCAACCCCAACCCCAACCCCAAAGGAATGTTAGTAGTCACAAACCCCCAGTATGTCAACAGTGAGGTCCATAAAGAAATGTTACCCAACAATGTACTCCTGGCAATCTACAACAAAAAGTGGCCAAGAGGATTGGGTCCAGGTCCTTTGTAGATCATTATCCAAGAAGATAATACTAAACCCCACAAGACAAGCATTAGGGATGTGCTTGCAGCTGCTGCAATGATGGAAGGGAGGAATATTTCTATTACAACTCATCAGCCAAACAGTCTGGATTTGAATTTACTTGATCTTGGATTTTTAATTCCATCCAAGGTTTACAGCACAAGAAAAGATTGAGCAATATTGATCATTTGATCAAAAATGTTGTTGAGAAAGCATTTGATGCTGAGTGCAGCAAGCGTGAGACATTGAATGAGAACTTGTTTTTTTATCCCTTTGGGCTTGTATAGAAACACCGTTTGGTGTCAGTGGTGGCAACCATTACAAACTTCCTTGCATGGAAATAACAAGGAGTCTGACGTCTCAAGCATGACCCTTCCAGCAGTTTCAATGAATTGCGATCCTAGTAGTAGTTGTTGTTGCATCATGGCAGCAGGGCAACAAGAAGTGCTTGTTGTTAGTAATGCTGCTGCCAAAGCTCACCAGACGGCAACAGCACATCAATAATCATAGTGGTCTCAGTAGCAAAGAAGTTTGAGTTATATTCTAGTAGTAGTAGTACCAATACTGGTCGCGCTTCCAACAAAACTCCCTGGAGGGAAGAAACACCGCCCCTCGGTGCGACTAGTAGGAGCATACCTCATCCCCGGGGCTATTGTTCTGGCCACCATATAGTGCCTCTTTTAGTAGTTCACGAGGTTAAACATAATATTAAGATTTTTTTAGTAGTACTAGTACCAATACTAGCTAGTGGTAGTGAAATGAGTTTCTGGTACTAATTGAACACAATCCTATCCTACATAGGCCCAATACCAGTGACACATAATGAGGAAAATCAACAGGAGGACACAGCACAGTGAACAGTGACACATAACGGTACTCGTACCCTACCCTACGGTAGGGGAACAGAGGAAGTACCGGTACGTATCGTACCGTAGATAGGATAGTACGTACCCGTATGGTGTAGTGTCGTTCCGTACCTCATTTCATTTCATCTCGTCTCTCGTCACATCTCATTTCATTTCATCTCCTCTTCGTCTTCGGCTTGTCTCGTTCCGATCCGATCCGATCCGATCCGATCCGATCCGATCCAGGCCCCTCGACAGCGCCATGGACCGGAACCGCACGAAACCGAAGAAGCGGCCCGACCAGGGACCCCCCCGGGGCTTTCATCGGATTCCGGGTGGCGGTTCGTCCGCGGTCCTCGGCCTCTTGGCCGCCGTCGTCGCCTGCGGGAACCGGAACCACCACGGCCCTTTGTTCGGAGGGGTGGCGGAGGCCTTTTCCGCCCCCCCTCCGGCGCCGGTGCCCCCGCCGGGGCAGCGCTTCCGAGCTCTTTTTCTGGCGTCGGGGTCCGGCGACGACCCTTCCCATGGGGACCGTCCGGCCCCCAAGAAGAAGACGAAAAAAAAATCCCGGCGGCTGGTCCTGAACCCCAACCTCGACCGGGATCTCTTCGCGAAGGGCGGGGTTGCGACCATCACCCCGGACGGGGTCGTCGTGGCGGCGGAAGAAGCCGGCCGGCCCAGGTCGTCCAAGCTGGGGGTCCCGACCAAGCCGCGCAAGCCCAAGAAGGGCAGCGGCAGCGGCAAGAGCCTCTCGGCCAAGGCCCGCAGGCTCCGGAACCAGCGGACCGCGGGGGGAACCATCGACTCGTCGGCTTCGGAGGGTCGGAAGGGGTTGTCCTCGATCGCGAGGAAGGAGGACGAGCCCGTTCGGATCGCCACCGCCAGGCGGGGCTCCAAGACCGTGACGATGGTCCAGGGCATGGGGGCCTCCACCCCTCCCGAAGAGCGCAAGGCGCTCCTGAAAAAGCTCAAGGCGAGGGTCGGTGGCGGGGGAACCCTGGTCGACGGGGTCCTGGAGGTCCAGGGATCCCACGCGGAGACGGTCCTGGGGGTCCTCCGGTCCGCGGGCTACGCGAAAGCCTCGATCGTGGGGGGCGGGGGCAGCGGGCAGCGGAAGAAGACGAAAACGAAAACGAAATAAAACAGGGAGAACGCCGAACGAACCCAGCGGAACAAAAGGCGGCCGCACGGCACGAATGCACAAAGCTGCTCGTAGAAAATAGACGTTGGAACAATCCTTAGTATGCGCATCCCGTACTGCAATGGGTGGTCCTTTGCTATCTTAACGCTGCGTCGCGTTGCGTTGTGTTGTGTTGCGTTTGGTTCTATCGTGTCGTGTCGTGTCGTGTCGTGCCTCTCGGTGCTCAGAAGAGGGCCCTGGAAAGCTGGCGCACGGGCTGAACGGGGGGTGCCACCCGCCGCAGACCCCCCGCAGCGGTGTTGGGATGCCGGTGCTGTTGTTGTTGTTGTTGTTGTTGTTGTAGCGTGGAAAGGGGCACCTTGCGCGAGGGCGGGGCCCTTGGGTGGTGCCCGGCCTCGCAGCAGCTCAGGAGGGTCCGGGAGAGGCTCCGCCGTCCCTCCATGGCGGCCGATCCGGGACGGGGGGAATGTTTTGGCCGTTGCTGTTGCTTTTGTTGTTGCTTTTGTTGTTGCTGCTGCCGGGGTTCCCGCGGTGGATGCTCTTCGGGCGGTGGGCTGGGAACCCCTGCCGCCGATACCGATACCGGTGCCGATACCGGTGCTTCTGCGCTGGGTTTGTGCTTGGTCTTTTTCTTCTTTGGGGCGAGGGCCGTCGACGACGTCGAAACCGACGAGCACGTCGCCGAACCCGAACCCGACGGGGGTGGCAGGGGAGAAACGGAGGCCTTGGATTTGGGTTTGGTCTTGGCATCGTATTTGGTCTTGGTCTTGGTCTTGGTCTTGCTGTTGTTCTTGCTGTCGTTCTTGCTGTTGTTCTTGTGTTTGTTCTTGTTCTTGTTCTTGTTGGTGGCCCGGGTGCGCTTTTCCTTGGGCTTGTCGGGATTGACGGGCCCGGGGGGAGCGGGAGCCACCGGGAGGCCTTCTGCGTTCCCTCCCACGGTGCCTTTGCTTCCCTCGGTGCCTTTGCCTTTGCTTCCCACAACACCGATGCCGATGTCCGGGCAGGCATCCCCCTGGCCGTCTGGCGAGGCCGGTAGCTCTTGGGATTTCGGTTTTGGTTTCGGCTTGAACTTGATCTTCTTGGTCTTGTGTGCCTTGGTCTTTTGTTTGCCCGCCCCGGGGCTCGTCTTGCCTGCCTCGTCGCCCGGAGGCTTTTTCCTGGCGCTCTTCTTGTTGCTGCTGATGTTGCTGATGTTGCTAGTTTTGTTGCTGCTACCTTTGTTGTTGCTAGTTTTGTTGCTGCTGCTGCCTCCGCCCGGCGGGAGGGCATCGGGGGGTTCCTCCAGGGAGAGTTTCCGGGTCGGGCAGCAGGCGGGCCGGTCGGCCTTGGGGCCTCCGTCCCCGGCCCCGCTTCCGGACGGCGAAAGCCCGGGGGGAGGAGGGATCCCGGGGAGCTCGAGGTTCCGGGAGCTCTTGTCGAAGGGATGGCCCGGGCGGATCGAGGCGGCGGCGAGGGAGCCGCGCCTCGGCGTTTGCATTTGCAGTTGCGTTTGCCTTTGCGTTTGCGTTTGGACCTGCGTTTGCGCCTGCATTTGCGCTTGGTGTGGCAGCGGCCGCGGATCCGGCCGGTGGGAGGGGGCCCCGCTCGGTTCCCACCGGGACACCGGGGACCGCTTCGATCCCCCCAAGGCGGAACGGGACGGCGAGAAGGGCAACAGCGACGCCCCTTTCGGAAGGCGGACGAGGCACGGCGGCGAAAAGGACCAGGAGGACAGGCCGTGGGAGAGGGGATGGTCGGGAACGATGGCCGGGCGGTTCGGGGCGTGGGGGAGGAGGAGGACCGACAAAAAGGAGGAGAGGGGGGTCCGCCGGTCTTCCGCCGCGGTGGCTCCCCCGCACAAAGCTGCGTGATCCATCTCCGGCGGGGAGTCTTGTTCGTTGGTTGGTTGGTTGGTTTGGTTAGTTTGCTGGTTGGTTGGTTAGTTAGATAGCTAGTTTGTTGGCAGCGAGGCAAGGGAGGCGTCGATGGTGTGTTGCGAATCGATCTGGTTTGCTTTGATATGCTTTGGTATGGTATGCTTTGGTTTGGTTTGTATCGATTGTACTGTATGGAAGTTGCATGGCAAGAAGGAAGGACCCCAACGAAAGAAGGCGAATCGAAGGGCTCGCAAAACGGGCACGGCGCGATCCAGTCAATAAGTACCGCAACGGCACGACATTCTCGGGTACCCGAAGAAGAAGAAGGTGTGCACAATTCGGCACAAGCGATTCTAGTCGTAGAAAGATCAAGAACAAGCACAAGAACAAGAACAAGAACAAGAACACGCTCGTTGCCGGACCGGGCACGGATGGTCTCTCGCCGGTCCCGGGGCTCTACGCACCGCATGGACAATGCGTTTCGCATCGCATCGTTTGGCAAACTCGGTGCGTACGGTACGGTACGGTACGACGACGACAAGGCCAAGATTCTGTGATGGGAGTTCTAGAGATCGTGGATGCCAAAACAACCATAACGTACCGTACTTACTCGTAGGAAACGCGACGGATGTGGGAGTCAACGACGGGTTTTGATGCATACGTACGTACCGTACGGTACGTACTCGTACCGGTCTAAGGCCGAGCCAAGGACGGAATCGGTCTTCCTTTTCATGGTATGTATGGTACGTACGTAGTAATCATACAGTACTACAACATTCTACCAGTACAGTTCGATCCGAAATCCGAAGCTACCGTACGGTACCGTAGCTACCGGTAAGCAAGGGTTCGAGGGGGAAACGCATCCCATCGTGCATCGATCCACGCATGCACTACCGTTCAGCAGTATCGTCGTACGGTACGTACGAATTGAACATTGAACCCTAGGAGTACGATACATACCGTAAAGTAGGGTACCGTACGTACGTACCGTAGAATCCAAATCCAAAATCACTCCGTCGTAGTACCAGCCGGTACGGTACAGTTCCTACGGTACGACGATAGGGCAAAGCAGCAACTGAAAAAAGATTTCCCAAAGAATTCTTTGTTGCACTTCTTTTCTTGCCACCAAACCCACCAAAAGGATTGGCCCCATCGCATCCGTGCCGAGCACACCCAGCAGCCACCGGTGCGGCCGCAAACGACCAACGAAACCGCCAACTTCCCGTTCTCCGAAGGAGCCCGAAGGAGGCCAACCAACAACCCGAACCGAACAGAACCGAACAGAGCAGAACAGAACCGAACCTCCCCCGAGCCGCCCCGCGGAAAAACCCGATGACCCTCGCGCTCCGCTGCGGATTCCCCCCGGTCGCTTCCGCCGGGATTCTCGTCCTCTGGATCCTCCTCCCGGCCTCCTCCCTGGCGTGGGTGGGGCCCGCCGGGGGAAGCGCCCGAAGAACAACGCCGGGGGTTCCGGTTTCGTGTTCCTTTCAGCGTTCGTTTCGGTCATGCGTCTCGCCGCCGGCAGGGCGATCGAAAACCACCGCCGCGGCGGCGGCTGCTTCCAGAAGCACCGCTCCCCCCGCGGAAGAAGAGGTGTCGAAACTCGAGTCCTACGAGTACGACGGGTGGAACCTGACCTATCGAACCCTAGCCAGCGGCGACGGTAGCGATAGCGAAAACGAAACCAGCGGCAGCGGTGACCACCACAACGTTCTTTTCGTTCACCCCGTCGGGATCGGGCTTAGCTCCTGGTTCTGGGATCCCCTCCTGGCCCGCATCAAGGACAGAAACGAGAGACAAACGACAAAGGGTGGCGGCACCACCCTCCGGGCCTACGCCCCCAACCTGATCGGCTGCGGGATCTCCGAGGGATCGGACGCCTGGGACCCGGACCAGCGGGGCCTCCCCCTCCCCCTCGGGTGGGCCAGGGGCTGCGAGGCCCTCATGCGGGAGATCGACGACCGGGACCGTGGAAAAACCACCGGGCCGCCCCCGTCGTGGACGGTGGTGGCGCAGGGGGGGCTGGCCCCCGTGGGACTCCTGCTGGCGGCACGGAACCCGGCCACCGTCCAGAAGCTGGTCCTGGCCTCCCCGCCGACCTGGGGGGACATGGTGACCCCCGTTCCGGCTTCCGAGCTGGAACGGAACTACGGCCTGCTCCGGTCCAGGATCCTGGGCCGGTTGGCCTTTTCGATTCTCGAGAAGCGCCCGTTCATCGAGTTTTTCTCCAGGCTCTTCCTCTTCACAAAGGACGGGGAAAGCGGCAGAAGCGAGGACTGCGACATCGAAACCTGGCTGGACAACACCGAGCGGGAGCTCTGCGGGGAGGCCCGGCCCCCGGTGTGGGCCTTCAATGCCGGCCTGTGCCAGCACCGCTCGTTCTCGGACGAGTTCGAAACCATCCGGGAGACGGGCACCCAGGAACTCGTGGTCGTCCAGGGAGCCAACGACCTGCGGGACCGATCGGGGTACGTCTCGAACCGGGCGGTGGGCGATTTGGTTGTTGTTCCGGGAGCGACGAACGTGGTTCCCTGGGAACGGCCGTCGGCGCTGGTGGACCTCCTCGGGTAGGAACCAGCGCCGGGCACCGGTGGGAGGCAAAGCGCAACGAACGGCAGACACCACGGGCCTTCCCCGAATGGAATGCACACGCCAACGATGTGTGTGCACCGCATTGCGAGCACTTCCTGCGGCGATGCCCGAACCCACGGGCAGCGGCTCGCGGGGTGGGGGAGCACCTCTTGGCCAAGCGGGTGCCCGCTGGTCTTGCCCGTCGGTCCATCGTCTGGCACGGGACTTGTTGCGAACCCACGGCATTTGTTACGACCATAGGAATATACTACAATACGAATGCATCATTCATTCTATTGCGTGTAGTATGGAATTTCGGCTAAAAAATATTATAGTCTCCAGGATGGTGTTGTTCCTCACACGCATCGGTGCCATAGTTCACACTGGCTATCATCGCCTCGAAAAAGTACCGTAGTTCTTGTCTTTTCCACGCTGTGTATAAATATGTTTGTGGTTCGTGTCTCCAGTGTATGTATTCACTAGACATTCTGCAAACAGCGGTGGGATAGATGCCGTGCCTCGTCTTTTTTGTCAATTTGCTTTGCTTTCCTCCGCTTTCGTTGCGCATGAATGCGGACACTGCCATTTCCGTCGTGTGCAGAGGATTGCAATGCATGGAGGGCAAGCGTATTCTACGCTGTACAATACATTTACATATGGACATTCATGTTCTGCATTTTATTTTGCCACCACATCGGTGATGTAGGACACGAGACTCAGTCGCAAATCCCGCAGGGCCACCTTGTCCCGGCGGTTCTTCTGGGTCCCCTTGAAGGCCGTTTCCAGGAGCGATTGAAGGGCAGCGTCTCGTCGCCGCGGCCGGAGTGGGGCCGCGGCACTCGCCGAGCTTTCCGAGGCCTGGCTCCCCTCCCCGTAAGCACTCACGGGGGTCAGGTGGTTCCCCCGGAGGCGGGCAAAGCGAACGTCGCTCGAATTCGTCGAGTGCAGGAGGGTGGCCAGCTTGCTCCCCTGGTCGATGGGATCGTCATCGAACTGGACCACCAGCGTGGTGTTGACCCTGTAGCGGTCGTCTTCCGCCAAAGCCTTCCACAGCTGGTCCGGGGTCGGGAGAAACTCCAGGTCTTTTGAATTGGGGGTCAGGGCCGTTTGGATGCGGTTCTTCTGGGCGCTGAATGTTTCCTGAAAGTCTTCCACCATCTCCGCCCATTCTTCGTCTAAGGCTTCTTCGTCGTCATAGAAATCATCGTATCGATTCTTGTTGCGTCGTCCGTTGTTGCTCGATCGACCACGGCGAGACCGCGGTGACCGATTGTTGTTGTTGTTGTTATAGGCTTCTCGTTTCTTGGATTGTTTGAGAAGGGCCCCGACTCCTGGAATCCCAACCTTGGCACCGTAGTTGGTAAAACTCACGAGGCATAGCGATTTGTAGGGTGGAATCACTACGGACGATCGGGTTGACTCTTCCTCGAACAACGGCTCGTTCTGGTCGAGCGTAGTCATCACCGTCAGCAACCGCGCCCCGAGCGAGTGGCCCAATCCGCACAGGGGGATCCCTTCGAGGGCCTCCGGGCCGTACTCGTCTTCCAGCACCATCTGCCAGGCGTTGCGAAAGGACGACCTCAGGGCCAGGGACAAGCGCACGTGCTGGAGGGGATTCTGGAAGAGGGTCACGGGGATCGGCGTGACCACGATGGCCACCGAGGTGCTGCGGACGATGGACTCCAGGAGGCCCCGGTACCACAGCTTGGGGTTGCTCCCGAAGACGGTCCCGCCCACAAAGTGAACGATGGCCTTGGGGCGTTTCACCGCGGCCGGGGGCAGCAGAACGAGGGCCTGGGGTGTTTTTTTGTCTCGGTTGTTGCTGGTGCAGATTTCCCAGTCGATTTCCGTCTCGGAGGGATCCACCTCTTCGTTGAAAGAGACCTGGTAGTATCCACCTCGACTATTGCTATTGCCATCACCATCACTTTCGCCACCGTTGGTCCGTTCGTCCCCATACTCGTCGATATCGTCATCGTAGTAATCGACTGTGCGACGACGGTTCATTTCCTCGCGATTGTTGTCGTCGTCTTCGTAGTAGGAGGACGAGTTGTAATAGTCATCGTAGTCGTCGTCGGTGTCAACCCCGGCATAGTCTCCTACAGCTTCTGCTTCGGCGCCAGTTGTGTCTTGGTAATAGTAGTAGTCATCGGTTTGAAAATCCTCGTCGTCATCGAAAAAATCCCTGTTGCCTCTTGCTCGCTTTGTCATCGACAGCCAGGAAGTCGACGACGCAGAGGCTGAACCGTGTTGGTGGTCTATACACGAGAAACCGAAACTCCTTCCGATGGGTGATTTCGCTTTCGATACACATTTCGTTTTTGAAGACAGCGGCAGTGGGAGAATGGACGTCGTCTTGCTCCTCGCGGTGGTTTTCGATTCAGCTGTGAAGGAAAAGAGGGGATCTATCCGCAGGATCAGGGTCAACACAAACGAAAAGAGGAAGTAACTCGTTTTCTTGCGCAAATTCAGACGCGGCAACGGAGATGATTCCATAGAAACCTGCCGTTGCCAGAGGCTTTGCGTTTTTGGACCCTCGGCCGGTACCGATGCCATAGTGGTATTTCAGGGTGTGATTTGGTAGGTTCTTCGAACACAACACGCACTGCTTTTGGTCCTTGTCGACGGCTGGCTCACTTGCTGTGCTTGTCTTGTAGGTGATTCTTTCAATTCACTTTGCACAAGTCCCTCTAATTCTTACTATTCCGTTCTTTTAGAATACGCACGAAGTATTTTTTGTCGGATCGATTGAGCTATCACTTTCAAACTGATCTCTATTTCCCCTCCAGTTGTCAAAAAACAGCTCTCACTCGAAGAGAAAGAAACCTTAGAGATCAAGGGTGATCGTACCGTACGTATCGGCAACTCTCAACACGTTATTGAACGGTTTTGGTGCGGTATTTCTGTACCTTACATTTTACCTCGTCCGGTAGATTTTTCATGTTTTTTTTTAATCATCACCGATGACACAGTCGTATTAGTCGAGTTTAAAAGGAAAATTTAAAATTTTTGAATACAGTGGTACGGTACACTAAATTTGAAAAACCTCATTCCTCCTCTTTCGAATTCTACAGAGCGATACGAAACAATGCCGTTCGCCTCTGGCTTTCAAGAACAGATACGTACGGCAGTACCACACTCGCACGACACATGTCCCAGGAAAGTTACAAGTACACCACAAACGACCCAACCCAACCGAATTCCGACGTCTCCATACCCCTACAGTATTTTACAGCCGAAACAAGCGAACCAAGCCAGTTATTATCGAACATAATGACCACCAAACGCGCAGCATCTGTCGAGAAACCGCCGTTGTCACCAGTCGCCAGTGTCTCGAGACCGATTTCGTGGTGGACAATCTGCTGCTCCCTCCTCCTTCTTCTTCCTGCGGTATTGGAAGCCAATAAAATCGATGACGACGAACAATGGGGAGCCAATCTTGAGGACCATCCCGATCCCAACGACGAACACTACGAAGGAATGATCTACGTCGGCAAGCACGACGCCAACGGGAAACGGATCGGTTTCGACCAAGACAACGGAATTCGGTACATATTTGGGACCTCATTCGACGAGACCCACAAGGACATCGAAGAAAAAGACTTGCTCCACCACCCCCTGCGGCCGGTCCAAGACATTCCCGACCACGAGCGCGAAGCTGTCCTCAGGGAACGGCGGCATGGATCCCTCAAACAAGACGGCGAGAGCGGTCGCTATGAAATGCCAAAGGCGTTTGGTCACGTAGATGAGCACCCGCTGGATGGTGGGGTCGTCCCGCCCAAGGTTGTCCACGTGGATCCCTTCTTTCTGGACGAAACCCTCGTCACCAACAAGGAGTTTGGAAAGTTCGTCAGGGCGACCTATTATGAGACGGAAGCGGAGAAATACGGATGGTCCTTTGTCTTGGAGTCGATGGTGGACAAAGCCGCGCTGATGCAACACAGGAGAGACCAGCAACAAGACGAAGACCTGGAGCTAGAAAATGATCCAGAAGCCGAGGACTGGATGGCCGTCGACGGAGCTTACTGGAGGCGTCCCGAGGGACCCAAATCGAGTTATAAGGTGCGTTCAGGCGACTGTAGAAAAAATCCAGAAAATGCAGCAAGGCATCGGTCGATATACGAAAATGGAGTTCACCATTTGATACGAAGTTAGTAGCTTGTATCTGTTTGGCTTTTTTTGGCTTTTCCGTTTTGGTTACCGCTACAAGAAAGCCTTGAGATTCTCGCACAGCACGAATAATTAATTTACCCCCAGAATCTGTGCTTGCTGGTACCTGCGCCTCCGTTGCTCGGATTTTGACTACTCAAAATATGCGATCAGTGCTCTGAAATGGTTCATACATATTCTTTAAAACGCGCTCACATTTATTTCTATCACTCCCCTTCAGTACCGAGAAGATCACCCTGTTGTCCACGTATCTCACCGAGATGCCGCCGAATATTGCAAATGGGTAGGCAAAAGGTTACCAGGCGAATGGGAATACGAAGCCGCCGTGAGAGGCAAGAACACTGGACCCTCCAATAGAACAATGTTCGCGTGGGGCGACGATGACAGTGATTGGGAATTGGCGTCCAAGCACGCTAATCTGTGGGGCCCGGGCGCTTTTCCGAACGAAAACGGCGCCCTGGATGGATACCGGGCAACCTCTCCTGTCAAGCACTACCCGCCTAACGATCTCGGATTTTACGACACAACCGGAAACGTCTGGGAATGGATGCGTGGCGGCAAACACAAGGCACGGATCGTCCGCGGGGCTTCCTTCGTGGACTCTTTGGACGGATCGGTCAACCATGCCGCTACGCTGGGGGCCCGGTCCACCGTTCATGCCACTACCACCACGACCAACGTTGGGTTTCGATGTGCCAAGGCTCCAAAACGGCGGACGGAATATCACTTCGTGACGCACGACGAGGCAACCCATGGGCACTTGGCAGTCGAGGACCAGTTTGGAAAGCGGGACATGATCCCGCAAAAAGGCTGGGAAGATCAGTATCATCACGTAGACGAAGAGGAAAACGAGAACGACGAAGATCCTGACAACCAGTACAACAATCAGTTGAAGAAACGACGGGTAATCAAGAGACGAGAACGTTATTCGAACGAATTGTAAACCAATCAAGGAAAACGTAGACTAATTTTGAGTCTATGACATTTTTTATTGCGTTACCACAAAATGGATATCTCAAATGAAAACCTATGTAACATAGTATACTTATTTTAATCTTGTATTGAGGGATTTATTCCTCACTGAAATCTTAACAAATCCACAATTTGAAAGACATGGGGTGATTGTTCAAGTTCTGTATTTACCAAATTAAGAAACCCTCAAGCTTTCGCTGTTGAATCGATCACTTATTCTTCGCTCCCAAGAAGAAACGATTCTTCCAAGTGCTCCTCGCAAGCTTCGATGGATCCGGTTACGCCCTCAACGGGAAAGCCACTGTTGTCCCACACACACAAATCCTCGGTTCGGATGTTGTAATCTGCAATGGAACTATTGAGACTCTCGTAAAATTCTTCCTTTGAGACCCTTCGCTCACGGTAATACGATGCCGAGGTCGTCAAACCAGGAGATACAAAGGTGTCAAACGACTGGGCCGTGCGGGTGCGGTAGACCTTGTCTTCATTTTTCGTGATAGTGGTCAGCTGGCTCTGCAAGAGGACGTCTTCTTCCTTGCCCACCATTGTACCTGGGATGAAAACTTGGTACAACAGCGCATTTTCTCTTCCAATGAGCTCGGTCTTTGTGGGAAGTTCGTAGGGTCCCTGCACATAGAGACCTTCGATGATCCCGCCGAGTGCTGGGTTCAAAGAACAGGTCGTTGCGGATTGGTCTGCAAGTCATCGAAAATTGAGCATAACGGGGAAAAGGCACGAGACAGTGAGATAGTTTTTCTTTTATGACTCGTATCCGATTGAATCGAAGCATGATCAAGCCGTGCCGGTGCAACAAAACAACGGATAGCAGACGAATGCCGCACGCACCTGCTTCGAATACTTTGGTGTTTCCATTCACCCCACACTCTCCGTCTCCGATAACATTATTTTCGTTCTCGGGATTGCACTTGGACGGGATTTGCGGAGGATAAAGGAAGACGTTTCTCTGGCGGTACGCGTTTCTGCAAAAGCGGTGAAAATTAGTGAATGCATAGTGATAAGAAGTGCAAAACAATGGTGAGTGTTCTCTCTCGAAGGATACCGCTCGGTGTCGAAAAAATGGAAGGGGCACCTTGTCGTGACCGTCTTCCGACAAATTCTGTAACTTACCCGACCACTTCTCCAGTGATGAATCCCTTGTAGTGATCATAGGGATAATTCCATTGGCTCGATTCGTAAGGGTTCCCATCGCCCTGTAAGAATGTGTATTCACCAATCCAGTAACCCTTCTCAGCCTCCCATTGAGGATAGTCCAAAAGCTTCACATCTGCAGGGTCGCAATCGTCACCCCTGCCACCGGGATCAGGAGTAGGAGCAATAGTAGGAGCGATAGTAGTATCTTTCGTAGGAGCTTTTGTAGGATTTTTTGTAGGAGCACTGGTGTTTTTGGAATTCTTGCCCTTCTTGGCAAGTTTCCTCGTACTGGCTCTTTTCTTCTTTTTGTTCTTCCTCACTCCAACTTGGTGCAGAATTCGTTCGACATCGTTGAAGAAGGTAGGATGGTACTGAACGTGAGCATTGCCAATCAGAGACTAGCAGTGCACGAAACATCAAGAATCAAACACCAAGAAGTGAGCGCTAGAAAATCTTGCGGGCTTCCGCAGCGAAAAACAGATGTACAGAAAATTCACACTCCAAGGGAGAGACCTACCAGGTATTGCTCGCCTCCTCCTTCCTTGTTGCCGGTGGCACTAGTTGTCGCTGCGTACACAGATCCAGAGCTCCAAGAGTATGCGAGGGCGATCGCTGTGAGGGCAATGCGTTGACTTGTTTTCATCTTATCGTTGGATTGTACTATTACACGAATATTTCAGTTTCTGAAAAAAAATATGATATTCTCGTAGACGTCTCGCTTAGTTTACGAGTGAAAAGAAAAACCTTCCGATGCAAAAAAATGATGGAGAAGAAAGGGCCCCGTACAGAGTTTTTGAACGGGAATGAATACAGTACGTGTTCTTCTTTGTTTTTATTTTACTGTCACTCATCGTTTAACAGTTTCTGACAAAGCTTTCTGGCCTGGAAAAGATGTTACAGTAAGCAATTTATTTCATATGATACAGTAATAGCCTCTTAGCCTTGCCACATCAACAAAAACCGGATCCGTATATAAAAGCGGTTCGGAGTGAGTCTCTTCTGCTGGAAGTTTGTCTTCTCCGCTCCGAATCAAACGGTTCTGATTAATTAATTTGTTAATTAATTTGTATGGGCTATAAAATTCTTCGATTGGAATCGAATCATACTTAGAGTTGTATCAATTTATTCTACGTCCAAACGAACATTGAATGCTCAAGATTTTGAATTTCCTATCCATTGTCGACTATGCTACGGGTACGGACGTACTACTGACGAATCAAAAAGTTACTTATTCCTACGAACTGAATTACAGAATGTCAGTAAGACATTAATTCGTCACTACGAGAACATAACACGCATGAAGTAATATCAGGAGGTGTAATTTCGAATACCGTACCTACTGTCAAGTACAGCAATTATCAATTTACGATGCCGTATTGTAGTATTCTATTCGAGTTCAAAAAACATTTTTCGGGCTACCAGTTTCTGCTAAACCTTTTCGTATTTTTTCTTCGGCCATCCTTCTTGTATTACAGCAGGAACTTTTCCGTGATATTCAATATTTTGGTACGATACGGGGTACCAGGTATCCCTAAAAAGCCGACAAGCTCTTGCTTGAAAACAAGAACAATGCCCCAAATCTCATTCTATGGGTTCATAGGTTATGAATTTACTCTATATACCTAACAACCATCCGTCAACATCACAAATGATTGTTGATTTTTCCCCTCTCAAATCTTGGCAAGTTACGGTACGGTACAGTATGTACGTACTTGTACTTACCCGCCAGTAGTGTCAACGAAACGAAGGACGGAGTACTGAGTTCGAACGTACGTACTCTTACTACTCGTACTCACTCGTACCGTCGACATTAGCAAGAATGAAGGGAAAGTGCCACGAACAAAAATCAACATTCATTACCGCTATCGAACGTACGTAGAGTACAGTACCGTGCTACACGTTCAATGCTGGAAGACAATGAGACGACTTCTGAGATCCTATTCGTACAGCAAGTAATTCGAAGAAGGGCCCTCAGAGTGCGGGTACGGGTACGATCCAAACCGCACGGTACCCCTTTTCCAATTATTCTCCAAGCATGACGACAGCAGCCACCGAGGACGAAGGGAACGAAATCGATTGGGGCTCTGAGGCAGCCGCTTCTGTTTCTGTTTCTGCTTCGTCTGTGAATGTGAATGCGGATGTGAATGTGAATGCGGATGCGGAGGCAGATGCGGAGGCAGATGTGGACGCCGAAACCCCGCGAACCACAGAGGGGAACGGAGACGTCGAGGTGGTGGAAGAAGAACCCCGGGAGCGATCCCCTTCGCCCTTTTTCCAGTTTTTGTCCGACGTGGTTCCGAAGCGGTACCTGCAAGACGACCGCCTGGAATCGATCCGGTTCTATTCGAGGGCCGCCGGGGGCCTCCTCGGGGCGGTCTTTGTATGCAATCCCCTTCTGGTGCTCCGGACGATATGGGAGATCCTGGGGAGGATCCTCGGGACGGCGGTGGGCATCGGACTGGGAGCCGGTCTGGCCCTGCACGTCTTTCAGCAGCTGCAAAAATGGCAGACCGAGTACGACCGGCAGAAACAGCAAGAGTCCAAGCGAGTGGCCCTTTCCAACCGCCAGAAAACCCTCGAGGAACAGATCGCGGCCTCTCGCCGCCGCCACATGCGCCAAAAGGCAATGGGTTTCGGGGGAGCGTCCTCGCTGCCAACCCAGAACGCGTCGATCTCCGGAGACGCTTCCCACAACAACCCTTCCGATCAAAGCACCGATTCCGACCACAGAAAGAACAGCCACGGCAGCAACAACCACAACCACAACCACAATACGCACTCCTTCTTTGCTTCGGCAACTGCCATTGGAGACGCGGTGGCCGTCGGCGCCGAGGACGGGGATTCCTACGTTGGCTTGATGGGACAGGCGGGGTATCCCTTCCACGATCGGATCATGAGGGGACAGGTCCTGAGGGAGGACCACGTTTTTTTCAGCAAGCTTTACAAGTTCACAGACGACACGATTCCCCGGCAGCTGGGAGTCCTGTGGGTGGCGGAGGAATGGCCGTCGCTTCCCGGGGCGGTGACCAGGGAACTCGGTCGGTTCATCGAGCACGTCATGAGGGACTTTGTGAGCAGCTGGTATTCCCTCCTGGATCCCGGGATCTCCTTTCGGTTGGAGCAGGAGAAGCGAGACGAGGGGATTCCCCGCGACGCCCAGAAACCCAGCGATGGTGCAAGGGGGACGGACGACAGCGTCAACAGCAACGGCGCGCCGGGAGCACCGGCCGATCGACCGGCAAGCGGTGGCAGCGACAAAGACGGTGACAAGGAATCCGGGGGAGACAAGGCCTCGTCCCAACAGCGCAAGAAGATGGTCTTTTCCACCCTGACCCACCGGAGGGCCCCGATGATCGATTGCTGTTACAAAATGATGTCGTCGGTCGTGGGGAATCTGGCCACCCGTGCCGAGCACGTTAATCTGCTCGAACTGGTCTTGCTCAAGTGGACCCAGGTCCTGGGACAAACCCTAAATGAATACCGGACCCTGCGCAAGGTGGCCCAGGACAAGCGGCGCGCCTCGGGCGCAAACTCTGGCCAAACACGAAGCAGCGGTAGCGGTAATGGCAAGCATCCGTCGTCGGCGTTCCAGTCGTCGGTGTCTTCGACCGCCTCGACCAAGTCCACCAAGTCAAAACCAACAACGGAACAACCGCCACCGTCCGAAGTAGAAGTGACGAGAGAATTCCTCTTGGCGGGAAAGCTGCACCGCGCCATTACGTTCGGATTGGACGTCCCCTCGTTGCTGTTTGCCGATGCCTCGGGCAAGGAATGCGGGCTCGGAATCGAAGCGAACGAAGGCAACAGCGATACTAGGACCAGCAACAACAGCAATGCTGCCACCAACACCCACCACGATCCGAGAACGGTGCTGGAGCACCGCCTCTATCACACCGACATCCTGAGAGAGTGCCAGATCGATTACCATCGGGTCCTGGCCAACCGGTTGATTCGGGCCTTGATGCCAAAGTCCGAAACGAATTCGCAGTGTGTCGTGGCCATGCTGACGGAGATCATCGGCGGGGCCGTCTTGACTCCCGTGTACAATCTATGGGTGCCCAACTTTATGAACGACTGCATCGTCAAGGTCTTGACAACCGCAACGGCACCGGCGGCACCAAGCGATGTTCGGTCGGCAAATCATCAAAACAGCAGCAGTAAAACAACGCGAGCGGCGGCAGCGAAGACACCGGGAGATTCCGGGAACAGCACCAACAACGACAAAGCTCTCGCGAATGCCACCTATCGCCTCGAGGATTCGATCCATCTCGGAGACGCTCAGCAAAATTCCTTCTCACACGCAGCCGAAGCATCAGACAGCGATGCAATGGAAAATGCAGCGCGAACGGACCAGCCGACCCAACAACAAGGAAAACCGGCCACCGACAGTCATCTCGAACAACAGATACCACATACATCTACCAACTCGGTCGCTTCCAGGGACAGCGAACGGCCACTATCGAAAAATTCCAACAGCGGCACAAAAGAGAAAGCCAGCGAATACACCGACGACACAGGGAGATTGACGAGGAGCTACAAACTCTTGAAACTGTCCTCTATAGCGCTAAAGGACCTGGCAAAGCACACGAGCTTGAACCCAAGCCAAAACCAAGACGAAAGCAGCGAAGCTAGGGAATCGGTGGATTGGAACGATGCAAACTGCCAGCATTCCGCTTTGAAATCGGCCATGGTGATCGAGGCGATACTTTTGGACGGAAGATGTGCCTTTAACGAAAAAGAGGAGAAAGAAGTATTTCCAGATTTGCTGGCAGGAGCAGAAAACGATCCTACCGTGACCGAAACCGAACCCGGGGGCGATCCAAACTCGCTGGCACTAGACACCAGCACTCCGGGCAATAACGGCACGTTTGGGTCGGCGGATTGCACCTCCGCAACCGAGCACCGAGACAACAGATCTTTCGCCGATCTTTTGATGGAAATGTCGTCGGATATGGAGGCATTCGAGGACAAGCTTCGCAACACACCAGCTCCTGCGTCACACGCCTTGTCGGTCCCTCGACATGGCCGGAGCAGTCCTGATTTTGAACCAGACGTCGACGAGGTGGCAAAACTCAGATCTCTCATATGTGCCTGGCTCCATACGGGACAGTTGTTCGAAGCGGTGCGGCTGATTTCAAAGGCGGTGGACACCATCTTTGCACCGTACTATGCCGGTGATGCCTTTCTGCTAAAGCAAGACCAGAGAGAGATTTTCACTCGGCAAATGCAGCCTCTTGACAAAGTGGAAATCATGGTCGATGCGATGACAGTCCGCATATTCCCTCGATTGGTCGTGTCGGAGGAATTCGATCAGCTGGTCTCTGATCTGACAGAAGCTGCACCACAGAAGCAAGCATCGAAACCAACCACGGCGAAAGCATCTTCCAATAGTGGTGTAGTACAACTTGCCGCCGTGAAAGATACTCACATTGCTACCAATGATAGTTACCACTACTATGGACATCAATTCACACCTCGGTACCTCAACTTTCAACGCAACGAGGCATTTGCTGCGAGCCTGAGGGCGGAACGCAAACGTCGCTGGAGAGCCTGGGAAACTCGAACCATGGAAAAAGACGTTCAAACCGTCATGCGAAACAAGGCGTCGGCTCGGGATTACGAGCTACACTCCGAAATGCACAATTTGTCCCGACTATTTTACAACGGAACGGCTATCATGACCGTAAGGGACGCTGCCAGAAAGAACGAAAGAGTCGAGGAAAAAGTGTCGCTCTTGACGGTAGAAATAGCGTCGAGCAGGCGACGCATCGAGGTTCCGGACGACGACTCGTCCTTTTTGCTTAGGGCACAATCTCGACAGCTGAGTCCAGTGAGCGTTCACCTAGACGATAGAAACCACGATATGGGTTACAAGTGCTTTCTTGCTACATACGAAGAGCCAGCATTGACCCAGGGATCAACTCGCTATAGCGATGGTCGATACATTAGGCGATGCTTTCTACAGTACTACCCGAGTGATAGAACTGCTCGCATCGTCTTGCAAAACGATGCGAGAAAATTGGACAAAAGAAAAGAAATCGGAGGAAACGAACACTCGACCGAGAACCAAATCAGTTCTTCCTTTTCTCGAGCCTTTTTGAATCAGAGATATCTATGCCAGAAAGTTGGGGTGGCGCAGAGCTTCATGTCTAGTACGTTGATGGAACCTACAGACTTTAGTGCTTTTCCCCGTTCAGGAAAAGCTCTTGATTTTGTCTATCGCATGTCTCTTTTTAATCGTCCAATTGTGGATTTAGGAGGAAAGCAGTTCAAAATTCAAGACTCGTCGAGTCGTGGTATTCATCGGGCCGACGCAAGCAGTTTCGAAGTGACTGACGCATCACTGAGTTACGTCCTTCTTAAGATTGGGAAGAGCCTTGGAATCAACCAGCAAGAAGAGCTAGGAGATGGGAAGCCAACCGGTGGTTTTCGGAACGTTGAGACTGGCCCTGATGGCTACCCTGTTTTGTTTCTTAGGTTCACCAAAACGGGCGAGAAAGGCGGTACGGAATTCAAGCCATATAGGCTCTCTTTCGTTCGCGCCGCACTCATGGTGACTTCTGCAAGGCAAGAAGCGCAACTTGGAACGCTCATTGAATGTGTCAGAGCTGGATCAGCGAAAAGTGCAACTAAAGCCCGAACTGAAGAGCAATTGAGGCCKGTGAAGAAGATTCTTCATTTTGCAAACGAGAGATCAGACCAAAATTTCAATCAAGATTTGAAATTGGGTCAGTTTTTAGATCGAGGTCAGCTTCAAAGAAATGGTCTATTGAATTTGCGCCATCCGACGTCAATATTGCAGCTTGAAGCAAAAGTAGAAGGAACAGCTCTTGCAAAAGAGGTTCCTCTCGCTTCGGCTTCGACCAAATCGTACAATCCGGATACCGTCCTTTACAGAATCAGGTGCACTGTTGTTGTCGAGCTTGTTGAAAATAATGGAACGTTGACGGACTTTGAACCATACGCCTTGGATGACGGATCTTATGCTAGATTTTATCGGGAGGAATATATTGTTCACCGCTCAATGACAGAATTTCAAACTCTACATAAACAATTGAAAAGTCAGGTAGCGTTAACAGAATCTACAATGTCTACAGGAAACAGAATCGTCGGAGCAGCATCAGCTGCTTTACACGTAGGCAGTCAGAGCACAAGTATTAATCGACGAAACAAAAAAATCCTCATACCATCTCTGGCGCAAGCTGGTAAGATTGGTGCGTTGGGAATGACCAAGAAGCTTATTCTAAAAAGAATGGAACTCCTCGGCGAATATATTGACTACCTTCTTGCATCGAATTCACTTATGAACAGGTGCTCTGAATTATTACTCTTCTTGGGGGCTTCCCATCCTTTTCCACCGGAAGTGACTATGACTAAAGCACAAACCAATATAATGGATTTGCTCGGGCGAACGAATTTTGTCCGTAGCATTGCGCTGAAGGATATTGCAGGATCGAAGCTCATGATGAAGATTTCGACCCACGGAAGGCCAAGATATCGCAGTGCATCTGAAAGATCATTAATTGAGAAACCAAACGAAAACGGGAGAGAACCCGCCGAAAGTATCAAAATGGATCCCATCATCCTTAACAAGGTTGATCAGATTCCATTGGCTGAAGTCAGAAACCGAATTCTTGAATTATTTCGGCTATCTTTTAATTTTGAACATGCATCATTCATGAGGAGCCAACTGCTCACGGCGTTGGAGACGGCCTCGTTTCTAGCTGTGGCAAAGCAAAGCGACTTCCGTCGAGTCTTGCATGACATCCACACGAAGCATTTGAGTGGTGAAGCCATAGGAGGATTGATCGAAAGAGTTCTTGATATCCTTTGGCCCGATGGCATCTTTATGAAGCCAGCACCGCTTCCTACACCCGAGGAAGAAATTGCCTTGAGGGATGCAGCGAAGAAAAAGCTACACGAAGGATTCCCTGATCAAGTTCGCACACTACTTGGGAAAGAAATGACAGAAGAAGGACTAAACGTGATACACGAGATGCTACAAAACAGGGTCATCTTGAAGAGCCTATTCTATATGTTGTTGGATCTACTTTGGATTGAGGTATTTCCTGAATTGAGGGATGCACTGCCATGTGCTTCGGCACTCGACCTCGATCTACTTTGAAAATAGAGAAGTGTTCTTTTCATACATTTCCTAATGCCTCTTTCTTGCTAGCTTCTGCACCTTTTTCGTGCTTTTTGTTTTGGTGACCCGTGTTCACTGTACTCGGAACTATTCGCTGCTTTTTCAGCACGCCAGCCTCAACATCTGTAGATAAAGATGACTGTGAGCTCGTTGTATCCTTTTTCGCCATGTCACAGAGGGGCTCCAATTGTATCACATAGTGGCTTATTACTTGTCGCTTTCGATTATGAATAATGTCGTTCATTGCATGATGATGCTTTCGCCTCTTTGCTTTTTGTTGATGACCATCGTGATCCTTTTCGTTTCTTTTGGCCTTGTTATGGTGGTGTTCTCCCTTCTTTTCTTTTGTTGCCATTGCCGGATTACTGTACACTTCGGGCGACGAAACAACTGGACTGACCGACATTTTGCATTCAACAAAATTATATTGATCTACAAAGCTGCTTGTAATGCTACTACTTCCGTTACTTGCATCTTCCTGGTTTCTCTTCACAGGAACCATTGATTTGAATGTCTTCACTTTGCGTCCGAGTATCGTATGTGCCTTGCAACGAATGTTGATTTCATTCACTTTGTTGTGACCACTTGCCACTATCAGATTTTCAAGGCTCTCAAAAGACTTGTCATCCCGCGAGGCAGCAGCTCGAGCACGACCCGCGGCTTCCGCAGCAGCATGATTCATCGAATCAGTTGCCGGTTTATTTAGATCATGGATTCTATCATTGGACGATGGGTCATCACTCATCTTACTCTTTGGTGATGGATCATTTTTCTGGCAATCAAGTTGCGAGAGTTGCTGGCGAGGGCGAAATAAAAGAGATGCAAGAGGACTTCCGACTGCATCGTGAGAATCAATGCCAGAAAGCCGGCAAAATGCTGCATTAGTATGAATGACTGTGAGAGAGGGACATGCCTGTACCAGTAGTTTTGCTGTCTTTGTGAAGGAAATAGCAGTATCTATCGTCACAGGCTTGCCTGGTCGGAGTATTCCTTGTTCAACGCTTGATTCTGACGAACCCATATCTAGTTCTATTTGGTCTTCGTATACGCGTCGCATATTCATTCTCTTTCTCTTTTTATCCTGTAATTTCTTTTCCCTGGCAGCATTCTGGTGTTGACTGCGCTTAAGACTCGGCTCTGAGTGGTTTGGGGAGAAACGATTGGTGTTTGTTTTATCCTCATGAAGAATTTGTTTGTCTTTGATAATTATCGGGGAGTTCTGGTCACTGTTGTCATTGCTGTTTTCAGTACTATTCGATTCCCCGTTAATTTCTTCACTGCTCCCCTTATTATTACCACTACCGGATGACCCATTACCGTTAGATGATATTCCTTCTTGATCGTTTCCGCTTCCTGAGCTCGGTCCACTGCCCGAGCTTCCACCTTGATTCGACCCACTGCCTGTGCCACTTCCAGTGTTGCCGCCACTACCAGAACCAGATGTGTTGCGATTTGATGAGGAGTACTCTGAGACCATTGCATTCATCCCGTATCGCCTTGGAGCTCCTACCAGTAGATTTTGTTGTTCTTGAGGATGTTGAAGCGCATGTTCCCCATCGGCTTGGTTATCACCGCCATTTTCATCAGCGCCGGGATGCTCCCTATTGGCATCTTGGTCAAGTGGAAGTTGTTGCTCCTGTCCTCGTAGTTCTTCCTCGGACGATGAAGAAGATCTTCCACTATTAGAATCTGTTCCTTCTTGTTTTTTTGAGTTCTTTCGTTTCGGGCGAGCTAGGACAACCATAGATGAGGAATCCTTGTCGTTCTCGTCTTCTCCTTGGGGTCCTGCTAATGCTGCCGCCGTGGCAAATGCTGCCGCCAACTCATTCTTTGCTGTAACAAGAAGGTCTCCCACAGTTTTATTTATCTCTGTGTGGGTCTCTTTTGCTTCTTTCGAACCTTTTGAGCTCGGGGTAGACATAGCGTATGACTGCGCATCGATTCCATGCGCTTTGAAAAAGGGGCGAACCGACTATTTTCGATCAGATTGATCACAAGACCAAGCCAGTAACGCAAATGTTAGATTCGGTACTTTACAAGGAAGGGCCTTATCCATAGCATCGTTTTATGATAACTCACCTCGAGAAGTTTTGTATATTGATCCACACTGGGAATATTGCTATTACTGCCATCGGATGCATCACACTTGTTGTTTGGTATCGCATCTTTTTCACCCGCGGATTTGATAGAACCGAGGCAAGGAGCATTGCTGCTTTTGTTGCTGCCGCCGATTTTTAGATTCGAAAGAAGGGGGACATTGTTTGAACCACCAATACAAAAACCCACAGTACTCAAGTCTATTCGAGGATCCATAGGGTGTATTATTTTTACACCATTCCATTGAGGTAAACACGGTTTGGCTTCTTTGAGTACCGATTTTGATATGTTACCATTGGTATGATTTTTTGATGCAACGGGAAACGCTCTGGTTGTGTCCTCGATCGAATTGATTTTACTATCATCCCGCGTTCTTCTTGTTCCCGACGATTGCCCCATTGAGATTGATCTTGATTGGTGAGCTGTTGTTCCCGTGGAGTTCTTTGTATTGTCATCATTGCTGGCAGCATTATTTGATCTCGTCTTTAAAACTCCAGATTCTTTCCCTAAATTATTCTCTTGACCTGTTTGAGCACGACTGCTATTGCTTGTCAAACTCTTCATCTGCTTCTGTGCCATACCTGTTGCTGTATCGTTGTTTGACGAAGTGTCCGAAGAGGAGCAGTCAGCATTGTATCCACCGCTACCGCTACCGCTACTATTTCCTTTCCCATCACTTCCAGTGCTTGAAGAAGACTCCTCCTTCTCTTCCCGTTCCCGAGTCTTCTCACGACTAGAATCTGCTAATGATGTCGCATTCGAATGCATAATCGTAGTTTGATTTATATTCTTCTCTGTCTCCCGGACGGATGTCTTGCTCTTTTCAGAGGGAGAAATCGTCATGGTCTTGCTCCCTTTCTCAATCTACCTCTGTCTGCTATTTTCTTCTGTCCTCTATTAAGGTTCAATGAGCAGGGTCCTTCGTGCTACCAATGTTTTGGTGCTTTCCACCTCCACTAGATGTCAGGAACTCCGTCATTTGAACAGCAGACGAGTACTGCATGAAAGCAAAATTATGGTATTCAATAGATCAAGAAATCATGTTGTCGTCATGCGTAAGTGTGTCGCATCGACATTTGAATGTTAATTGATTCTTATTTCGTTACGGACTGAAAAAAGGTTATAAAACGTCTGTCTCCGTCCGTCAATAATAAACAAAATGTTAGTTTTTGATCAGTGGAAATAATACTCTTTGCTCAATGTAATTATATTAACGGACGGAGACCAGAATATTTCTCTCCAATCATGTTATGTAATGCGAAACGATGGAACGTCATCAGCCATCATGATTACTTATAATTTTTGATGAAGAACAATTCTCCGTACAATCATTCTAATTGGACTTACGCAAAACAGCATCACAATCGATGACGACGTCGTGCTAACAGATGACGTAAACCATTGTCCATAATTACCACATATTGTCTTTTAAATCTGCAGGTCGTGAATATAATAATTCTTGGATTACGACATGTACCTCCTCTGCCGTAAGTTAGAATCCTTGACCAATAATCATTTCAAATCGACGATTACATCATTCTGCGCAAACGCGATTTAAATCTACTTAACGACTCTACATAAGAAGCTCTGCATGCGCGACTTCGAATACATATTGTTTTGTGAACCTTGATGTGGGAAGAACGATGATTGATGTCTGTTCAAGTAAAATTTCTAGCTTTGATGTTCTGTCTTGCAAAAGTTAAGTACGATACTACGTCCAAGTTCTTACCTGTTCTAATTGTCATCTCTCGAGTGATCGTGACAACAGTAGTCATATCCCCCAAAATGCGAATGAGTAAGATATAGATCACACAACAATAGAACAATTAACGATGGTATTGCAGAAGATGTCGATCGAGGGTGCCTATCAGGAGGCGATTCAAGACGCGGCAAGTATAATCCACGCAGCCAGTCTTCCAACTCAACCTTCCAATACTCACAACACGAGCGCCTGGCGCTCCCATAGCCACAAAGAGAGCTTGCTGTGTGGTGCTGATAACACGAAACTTTTTAGAGGTGATCAAGGTGAAATCTCGTCCTCCCTATTTGCAATTAATGATAATAGTTCTGCCGATGAAAACAGTACAGCCATACGAGACCGTGACCACCGCCGCGATTTTTCCACGACAGATAACTCTACCTATGACGATGGTATAGAGAGCAACATAACCTTTTTGGAACAAAAGCAACGAATACTTCGAAAGGCACTTATTCCGGGGCGGAGGGAAAAAGCTTATATCGCTAACAACGCGCTTGATATTGCTCGGGGTCGGGAGCCATATTTTTCTCGCACCAGAAATCCATCAATTTGGACCGAAGCCAGAGCTATAATGGATCAGCACAAGTTAGAGGAAGGGCTCGCCCCCGATATGGTACCTTGTTCGACCAATGATACTGAAGCGAAAAGAAGCACGCACTATGCTTGCACTCGAGCGTTGTCCTCCTCCTCACCGCCGACATCGCCATCATCGCTATGCAAGGCTGTGGTTCACAAGCCGCACATCCCAACAAAAAAGCGGCCCAAGATCGATCTGAGCATGGTTCAATGCATTTCTTCAGAAAAATTTGCAGAAGAAGAACATTCTGGAATGGAAGCATCCAACGCTTCAATCGGCGAAGAAACGATGTCGCCGAATGCCAACTGTAGGAACAAAAACCGACATGCGTCCTGTGTCTCCCCCACGACGAGGTACCAACAGGCCAGTGAATTGCAGGCCGCGACGAACTCTCGACACTGGATATCTCCTCCAGTTCTCAATCAAATCTTAACCCTGACGAATGCTGCTGTAACCAAGCATCACCAATTTACGCCTTCAGAAGAAAATGCTACCGAAGTACAATCGAATATCGCATACAACATCAACGTAGTACTTTGAAATCTTAAAAAAAATTGCGAATGTAGAAGTGCGTCACGCAGATGAATGCCAGTTGCTGGATTAGCATTTTTTCCAGGTGATCCAAGCATCAAATATACTGTTCTAGGTGGTTTGTAATTTGTCGACTTTATTGGTGTTTCTAGCCGCATACTATTTCCCTGAGAACAATTGAAACAAAATTATCAACCAAGACGCAGCAAACTCTATCATAGAATGCGAAATCAAGGGAGAGCGAAAAGACGTTACCGGCTGCTGAGTCTTTGGTCTAATCGCACTTTCGCTGTATCACTTGAGCATTTTACTAGACCAAAAAGGCCAACTAGAAAATTAGATACTTGTGGATTACAAATTCTATTCTATCCCTGAAAATATTATAATCGCAGCACAAAAACTCATCACGACACGATGTTGGATACAATTAAGCTATCGGTTCCAACCCAAAACGCAGCATGCAACGTCGGGGGGTGAAAAACCGTTGAAACACGTGCCTTCGTGACAAAATCCAAGATCTGTGAATACTAGCCAATCATCTCGTGATAGTCTCGGTAGGGCAACATTGGAGCAGACCTTGTCAAGACCATCGCCTTTTTGTAGTTTTGACATGATTTTGCGATAGAGTATAGGGGTAAGTATCAAATCAGACATTGTTAATAGAAAGTTCTCAAAGTAGCTCTTTCTCGAGGAAACCTCTTTCAAGGAGCGAACAGTGACTCCATCCAATGTAGGAAGCTTGAACTTCTGCTCTTTTTTGGTAGTTGAACATCATCAATTTTACTTACAGGTTGGGCCCCAAACGGTGGTATTCACGAGGGTATTTTGTTCCGTTTCGAGCAGTTGCTTGCTGGTCGCTGATAAAGATCTTATGAGTCTTTGACTTTTCAAGGGCAGCGGGATACCTTCGTTTGGGTAGTTGGACAGTGATCCATAACATCCGTCGTCGATGTACAAATGCTGCTGGATGGCATTTTGATTCCGGTTAGTATCGTCCGTTTTTCCTATACTACTCGCATCTTCATTGCTCTTGAGTTTGTTGTAATTGTTCTTTACTCCAATAATGCGAGCACATAAGGCTGCAGCATTAGCCATCAAGAGCCTGCTCACATCAATTGTGATAGTTGCGCAGATTTTGTGATGCCGTTCGATCCATTCTAGAACAGAACTTTCGATTTCGGTCGCGGTAATTGGATTTGATAAGTGGACCTGGGGAGGAGACCCTTTCGCCCATTTTTCGATTAAGTCGGACAGTGCCTCCAACAACAAGGTATTCCTATTTTGTGGCTCGATAGTAATAGTATCGGTATCGCCTGTACCAAATGTTTTCTCCATGATAGTTGTGTCCCTTCCAGCAAGCTCCAGAGCTACCCCAACAAATTGGCTATGTATCAATTCTAATGACTTCTTGTACATTTGTTCCACAACTGATTTCCATTCGGTCAAATCGTTGGTGTCGTTTTCAAGTCGCAGGACAAACGCGAGCTTTGGCGTGGAACTTGGTCCTTGCCGCCGGCGTTTGTGCATCTTACACATCTGGATGTGGATACGTTCCATTTCTTCAGCATTAGCTACGGTAATGGGAATCGTTCCGGGTGATATTGTTCTGGTCGTTTCTCCTTTCTCGTTGTTGGTTGAACTGCGATCCAAAAGCAAAGTTCTGTAAAAAGAATTTGGCTTCACGAGTATGCTGGTGTCGTCCCAGATCATGCTATCCTCGTCCTCACCACTTTCCACACCGCCAGTATTACTTTTGGTTTTTGGTTTGGTACCACAATTGACGATAGATTCTCGAACAGCGGTCAGGTCGTACTTTGTGGCCACCCGAAAGCCGATTCCCAGTCTCCGAAGCAACTGGAATAAACGGGCATTGCAGTTATGCCGAGCACTGTAGACCATTTGGACATTGTGGTGTTTTTGCAGGAGCAACCGCTTACGCCAAATGGTATACGTGTGTACAATTGCGGAAAAATCCAGCAAATGAAAAGCGCGGGATCGGGATTCGGACATGTGGTTGACTGCAGAGGTCGTAAAATCGCTCACGTTGGCTGGCAAGATGCTCAGTCCGTTCCCGATACTCTTCTTTTCGACGCCGCCGATGCGATCCTCTGTTGTGTTGTCGACGGAAAATATCTCGCTGTCGTCTTCATCCTCTTCTCGCAGTATAGATTCCACCTGAAGCTTGACTGCGTTGGCCTTCAAGATGCTCAAGACGGAAGGAAAGGAGACACGCTTGCTATTTTCCTGTTTCGTGCATACATTTGTCGATCGTTTCTGTGGAACGCTTGCGGTTTCTTTGTCATTCCTGTCGCTCTGTTGTTGGATAAAACCATTGATGGTCTGGTGCCAAGAACGACGCAGCAGAACACAAAGGGGAGGAATCGAAAACCCACCCTTCGGTTGCGAGGGCATCGAATCGTGGTGCACATCGGAGTTCCTGTGAACTGTCGGACCTGCAGTGTTTGAATGCCCACCCTTCAATTGTTGCTGCCGACGATTGGCCCATTTTTCAGCGACGGAAATTCGAGCATCGCCACGGCTGGCAAGACTTCCATTGCTGCTACTGTTCTTCATCGAACAGTTCTACTTCGTTCTTGCGTCGCAACGTACGTGGTGTACGATTAACGACAACGACAAGGGCGAAGAATTGACTGCCGGTATCCAAAAGTAAATAAATCTCCTCCAATGATTCAACGACTGATCAATTTAAGATCCGATTGGCTCTTGCTGATTTTCTTTTCCATTCAACAGAATTTAATGAAGTATTCAAATCCTATTGAGCAGAAGATGGATGAAATTCGAGCTACCGTACATGCATGATCTAGAAGTATTTGTTCACCTTGGAACAACGGTAACACTTACCGTACCGAACGGTGAATCATCATCACTGATCCTTCGAAAGTCCTCTCCCGAAAAAAAGAGATGTGTCCAATAGTATTTGAAAATACGATTGTACGGTAACCGTTGGCTGTGTTGACTTCGTTAGCTCCAATTTGCTATGATACCATATATGGTGCTCGTACATACCTACGATACGAAAAATTGTTAGGGGTTTACAGTTTACAGTTTAAAGATTAAAGATGCAGTCACAAGAAGATTTGGTCGCTCCCTAGGCTAGAGTGGATGTCGAACCAAAAAATGCTCGAGTCTCAAATTGGAACTCAATTGTACGGTACGGTACGTACTTGGCCGCTAACCAAAAAAGAAATAAACAAAATGTTTCTACTGTTGATCAACCAGGCTATCAATAATACAATTGTACTTTACCAATAGAAATCGAGAACGTACCTATCGTACTGCAGGGGTCATTCTAGACCCTTGAGGTCCTCTACCGTACGGTAGTACGATTACCATGATTTCGCACCAAGAAACTTGAACATGCTCGCTCGATACGTACCTAACTCATTTCATCCAGGATTGTGCTTCTGATCTACTCGCGCTCAAACCTACCTTCGTACGGTACTACTGTCTTAAAAATTTAGGACAGTACTCGTACTTCTGCACTTTTTTGGTAAGATACTGGACGAGTACTGCCCTGCGAAGACTATTGACACAGTTATTTTGATTCCCACCATAGCCACAGATTTCGTCTTCAAGACACCATTTTTTAAAATGAGCACCAATTTTTGACAACACTTAAAAATATTGTGATTGCGATGAGGCCTTCTATTATTCCTTTTCACCCAATCCGAATTTTCGTCGCAGCCTTTACCATCTTAGCGCCAAGTGCTTTTGCATTCTCATTCAAGCACAACAGCGCTGATTGTGTGTATCACCCCCCTCTCGCTAGTAGGAAATATTTTCGCCAGGGAACAGGGAACAGGGAACTTCAAAAAAAAGAAGAAACAAAATCATCATCCAGCATCAATATGACAGGAGGAATTGACGAACAACGGGCCAAGGTGGGTCTCGGTGAAGGAATTGTTTTTGGTTTGATTTTGATTTTCAAGTTTGTTCTGACCTAGTCGCCGACGCCTTTCTCTTTCTCGAATTTTCCACTGTGCGTACCTGGATCTCTCCGAAATCGTTGCTATCAACACAAAAACAAAACTTTCAAAATAATAACCAACGTTCGCAACACAAAAACAAAATAGACGGCTTTGCTCTTTCGGGAAGCTCAGGGCCCGGGCCTGACCATTGAAATGAGCCTCAACAAAATATATCATTCGACCCGTTCAGAATTTCAGCAAATTGACGTTATCAACACTTATTTTGGAAAGACGCTAGTAACCGACGGTAAAACGCAGAGCGCGCAGTTTGATGAATTTGCCTATCACGAATCGCTGGTCCACCCGGCTCTCTTGAATTTTGCCCACAACAACAATGGGAATGGTCCCAAGACGGTCTTGATTGGTGGTGGAGGGGAATTGGCCACAGCGAGGGAGGTCTTGCGGTATCCATCCGTAGAAAAATGTATCATGGTGGATTTGGACGGTACGTGACCAAGGAACGATTGGTAATTACTGCAACCGCGAACGAGAACAGCTGTGCAAAGATTCTTGTCCGAGAACTGATGTCACTTTTGCACCAGTTGCTGAATGCGGCGCTGGATTACATGGCTTTGGTCAGACAAAAGGAAACAGTTTAGTGGATGACATGCTCTGAAATAAATCCCTAACAACTTGAGCATCTGCGTACGTGTTGCTATTGAATCGTTGTATCTGCCTTGAATTTCATGGATTAAAATTATACTACAGAAAAAGTAATCGAAGTCTCCTTAGAGCACCTGGAAGAATGGGGCGGCAGGGAAGTAATGAAGGATCCACGCTTTGAGTTGGTAGTAGGGGATGCCTATTCCTGGATATTGGAGTGCAAAGATAAATTCGATTGTGTAATTATGGATATCAGCGATCCAATCGAGGCAGGACCGGGTATCATGCTTTACACAAAGGAACTCTATGAACATGTTGTTACAGTAATGTCACCAAATGGTGTCTTTGTGACACAAGCAGGGATCGCTGACTCCGTCCCAGCGCCCTACGCCACCGGCGGCGAACGCGACACGACATGCTTTGGTCCCATCCGCAACACACTGGCGGAAGTCTTTTCCTCCGTATTGCCTTACACACAAAACATACCGAGTTTTGGGACCGATTGGGGCTTTGTGATGGCCTATAACAACTCGCCCGATGGATGCGGTGCCGAGGAATGGAAGAAGATGATACCGCAAACTATCGATAATCTTGTTGAAGAACATATTAGCGGTGGTGAAGCTTCGTTTAAGACGTACGATGGAATAACGCACCAGCGGATGTTCCACCTCACAAAAAGTAAGTTTTTAGCGAATGAAAGAATCTGTCCATTGCGGGACGCGCTCCGTCCTCAAAGCTGCTGAAGACAGGCCTGTAGACGGAACTTGGTGGACTTTCTGCAAAAATTTTGCCGATGCTCTCACAACCACTTTTTGTTTCTTGGTTCGGCTACCATTTCTCTTCGTATCTGGCTTGTTTCAGCTGTCCGAAAGCAACTGGCGGAAGATGATCGTATCATGACGAAGGATCAACCAATATTCATGTACTGATCAAGTATCGATAACAGTGTTTCGGCAGATCAACGATACAATGAATAAATTCATTAAGAGACCGAAAAATGAACAGTACTGTAGAAGGTCAAACCTCGCAATCCTTGGATTTCAGCTGTAGCGAACCCAGAATTTTACTACGTAATTCGAGAGTAGAGTGCAAGCAGATTTGCACTATGCCATATTAGTAGAGCATATGTTGTGGGCTTTATTTTCCAGCCTCATGGTTCCTCTCTTGGGTTCGAATTTGAGAAACTATGAAATGCATCTTTTGACCAACGCATCATTCAATACGTAATATGTAATATCGTTATATTTTATGGACAAATGTCTTGACTGTCAAATTGCACAGGCTCAATTTTTTCTTGAGTTTGAAATTCTCAAATTCCTGGAGCAGCTGCCTCGGCTGCCGCAAGAAGTGCCTTAGACTCACTCTCGGCTTCAAGTGTGAGCACCACAACATCTTCGACCAAGTCGGCATCTTTGCAATTGTCTTGGAAAACGTCGATAATCTGAGCAAGTGTCTTCTGATATTGCAACCGGATTTGAGCCTCGGCATTGTAAAACTGCTGCCGCATTCTAAGATCATCTCTCAATTTTTCGTTGGCGGCCTTAAACTTATCAATGTTTTTCATCACTTCGTCGGTTCCAGACGCAGCCTTTTTCGAATTATTTTTGAGCAAATCGAAAGACTTTCCGGCGGATTCATTCTGTTCCACAAGTCTGTCGTTGGTTTCTTTAACCTTTTTGTATTCTTTCTTCGCCTTGTCGTTAGAACTCTTCAACTTCTTGTTTTCTTTCTGTAAGAAGCCAATCATTTTCTTGCTTTCTTCCAGCTTCGACTTCTGGGCAGCAGCTTCCATAGCTGGCGCCACGCCCTTTGTTAGGATTTCATCTTCAAGCTTCGTCCTAAACTCTTCCTCTTCAGATTTGGCTCCTTCAGTACGCTCAACTAATTCGGCCTTGGTCTCCTCAAATCGTTCCTGGGCCTCCTTGAGCTGTACCTTCAATTCTTCAATACGATCCTCGTATTTAGAATATTCCTTCTTTGCGGATTTTTCAGCTTCTTTATTTTGTCGCTCGATATTTTCGAGCCAGGCTTTTTCCTCAGCTGCTTTCCTTCTCTTTTCCTCCCATTTCTTCTGGTTGGCTTTCATGATTTCTACCTCCTTCAAAGCTTCCCGTTTAGCATTCATTGCGCGGGCAAATCTCTGAATAATGAAGATTGCATTCTGACGAGCTTTTTGGCTTCCACGAAGCCTCAAGCGAGTGACGAATCCACGTGCAATCTTTTGAAGTAGGATCGAATGTTCTTCGAGTCCACCAGCGCGCTGGCTCTCCAAATATTCCAAAACACCCATTTTGAAATAGGACTTAGTTTTTCCGGTGACGAAGATTGTGATAGGCTTTCCAGTCTTAGGGTTGATTTCTTTTAGAGGCGCGAGCGCACTTCCCAAAATCTGTTCGCAATCAACCTTCAGTTTTTCTTGAGGACTCATGTCATCAGTTGCCTTACTGGGATGAGTACCTCTGTCCCATAGTTGCCAGAATTTGAATCGAATAGCATCGTTGGCCATTTGATTGGGAAATGCCGATCGAGAAAGAGTTACTGCCGCAACAACACCAGCACACCGAAGCTGTTCAATTGTACCCACATGTTCCATCAAAACAGGTTTCTTCGGCTTATTTGGTTTGATACAACGGATGTACCGGGAATTTGTCTCCTTCAGCTTTGTCATCAAGGAAGAGAGTTGAGCTTTGTACTTAGTCCAAATGGTGGAACCGGTAACGCTCGACTTCGCACGCTTCGGAGCAGCACGGACGGGCTCACTTGATTTCGATTGAAAGTTAGTGCAAGAGTCATTTGTCATGTGCTTCGCCAAAATTTCATTCGAAGACAAATTTGCGGCTTCAGCCAAATCTACAGGAAGAGTATCCTGATTACTTTCAACAAAGCCCAAGGCATCGTACATAACCTTTCCGGCATAGTGATGGATTCCAAAACCAGTTCTGTTCATTTTGTCCACAATAAGACAGGCTGAGTTTTTGTTCCCAGCAATAGCCTTCTGGACAAAGGCTTGATCACTACCCTTTGGCCGGACACATTCCTCATTGAGCATGGCGAGGAGACCGGTCTTCGACTCGATGAGTTTCAAGACATCGGAGTTATCGTCATAGGTAATCTCATCTAGCGGAATACCTTCTCTCTCGTACTCCTCTTGCACAGATCGGAAAATATCTTCTGTAAATTTGGATTGCAACTTCTCGTTACAGTAGTTAATACAGAGCTGCTCATATCGGTTCTTGACGAATGATTCAAAACCAAAGATGTCAAGAAGACCAATAATACCAAACTCAGACATAGTTCCAGACTTGTAGTTCAATTCAGCAGCGGTGGCATCATTGATAGCACGAACAAGCCACAAAAATGCGCGCCCATAAATCTCCTTGGCGAAGGACTCGGTCGCTTCTTTGGCCTTCTCGGGATTCAATGGAACTTTGTAGGTTTCGTTCCTAGTCTTCATCGTACGTTGAGTCAATGCCGCTTCGAGAGTACCTGTCGGGATGCACATGAGCTCGCAAAGGTCAGAAAGTTCTTTTGTGGAAGCAACTTCAGATTTATCATCGTCTCCTTTGAAGGTTAGATTACCAAGTTGTAAGACCATAATAACGGCTTGAATCAAAGTCATCAATTGATCTTGCGAAACACCAATTTTTTCGAGGGTTCGAACTGTGTTGACGAAGTGGTCAGCATCTTTCATGCCCTCGATGGTATCGGTATCGGAACTCCCTACGAATTTGAAAGATTCGTTGGTGGTACCCGCAAGTTTGCTCCAATATTTGGTCTTTTCTTTGGCGGCAATAATTTGGTAGAAAATGTGGTATGTACGTTCCTTGGGATCATGCGTAATGACACGATTTTTTTCGAGCAAGTATGCATCGCACTTCGAACCTGCCAAAACGCAGGTTGCTTCCGTGCGAGAGCGGTACTCTTGCTGGGCTTTATCTCCCATATCGAATTGGAGTTGAATATACTTTCCGAATCGACTAGAGTTATCATTTCTCGAGGTTTTCGCATTACCGAATGCTTCGAGCAAAGGGTTGGAATCCAAGATACGTTGCACGATGGGCGACATCTCAGTCCCTGACGCTTTTGGCCCTTGTTGGCAACTTGCCATGTGGTTCATACAGATCTTGACAGTTTCGGTTTTTCCTGCACCAGACTCGCCCGACACAAGAATAGATTGGTCTCTTCCATCAAACGCAAGTCCTTTGTAGCACAAGGAAGATGTTTCGTACACGTGGGGTTCCACTGTACTGCGGGGATCGCCTTCGGTGTTGTCCCAAACAAGAACGCGAGCGTAGCGATTGCGCACTGCTTCGGTGTACAGTTCGGTAAACCACTGGAAAGGGTTCACAGCAATAACGATATCACCAGTGCGTGTGTATGGTTTGCCACTTCCGTGTCGTTCTTTCAAGTTGTAAAGAAGGCCGGCCTATAAATCCGTAATATTAAGGAAGAGGAATCGAAAGTCTTAGGGTCAGTATATCATTCACTCGATGCTCTTGACTCGCAAACTAGTCGTTTTTGAAACAAATATATCTTCAGAAATCAAACAGCTATCAAGAATTCACAACATAACGTACCTCGTGTAAGAAAGGCAGGTTCACCATGTCAGGATAAGACTGCAAGGCTCCGCTGGCATTCACATTTTGCATCGGCAGGACTCCCCTGTTGTATTCCTTCAGGGGCACTTCCTCTTCTTCGAATCTCTTTGCGGATAATCCACCATCACAAACGAAAGCCTGCTCATTTGGATATTGAGGCACTCTGACTTGAGCAAATTTGTCGTTCTGTCCTGTCTTGATGGCGGGAACCCAGGCATACTGAGAATCACGAATGAAAACGTAAGATGATTTGTCACCCCCCATGGTCGTCGTAATGTTTTCCTATTATCTAAGAAGTGTGCTGCAATTGAAGATACTTTTCAGATATCTCTTTCTTCAGTGTTTCTTCTGATGATTGTGGTTTGAATGAGCGAAGAATGGCGCTTGTCCCAAATTTGGTACGGTACTTCGTACTCGTAATCTTACTGCAAGGCAAATGTGGCAACATTCAGTATGACTTGCGAGAAAAAAACTCTCGAGTCCTTCGCAAGGGACAGGAAATCCTTGTCTTCTGGCACAACTATGACCATTTTGTGACTCCTATCCTGCTGTCGCCGGTCAAAAAAAGATCGTACCATACGGAACCTCGTACGATACCAAGATCGAAAACTCGTGCGACCATCCGCCTACCAGGTTAACGCACGTTCAGCATTTCAACGTCGCTTTTCGTACAGTGCTCTACAGGGCCCTGGCGTGAAGAGCACACTTCGCTTTAACTTGAAGTACTGTACATATTTATTACCATATCGTACCGTACTACTGGTACACGTACTAATGTACTAGCTAGTACATACTTCGTACATATGAAGAAAAGCAAGTACATATGAAGAAAAGCAATATCCTGGTGGTGTGTAGCGTTCCTCCTGTGCTACCGGTAATGCAGAATGTAAAATGTTGACAAATCAGCATGTCCCAATTATGACAGGAGGATTGATGTCAAGGATTCCGAAACATGAAGAACAAATACTGATTGAAAACATGTTCGTTTGCGTACTTTGTACGTCCTTCTCCTTGAGTACTTTTTCGTACAGTGGTTCTTTTTATGTGCAGCAAAACGTGAAGACGATTACTAAGTACAGTACCAAAGCATACGACGCGTAACGAAGTGAAGAAAGCACCACTTGAAATTTTGCCGTAAGATTGTGACTTCTGAAACTAAAGTCATTTTCAAATTTGATATTCGAACTATCAATGTCCCGTGGGGGTCTAAAGGTAAGTATGCAATTTTTAAAATCTTCTTATCAAATGCTGTATTTAATGATTAAAAATTATAATCTGTAGAAAGAAGTTTCCCATAGATTCCGATAGTCTTTTTGGTACCTTGAGCGAGTAATGAGAAATAATATTTTCCGTTTTACTTCTACTTCAGACACTGAAAGCTTGAACGTTTCCTCCTCATCTCACGAGTACGATTACACACAGTACCGTACGTACTGAATACTACTTCTTCTACAACAGTAGCGTCAAAAGATATCGTCATAAATCTTGTTCTCGAGCAGCACAATAAAGTAGAGACGATCTCCAGACCAGTATAATTTGAATTGTTACAGAACAAAAGGTAATTACAAAATGGGGAAGAGCTCATTTGTTTTCCTCAAGGACCCTGAATATGCCTGGATTCCGGCAAAGCTGCTCCGATCAAGCGGTAACGTTGCCGACGTTGAAATTCCTCAGTATGCAGACGAACAAAGCACCATCTGCGATGGCGGAAGAAGTGCGAAGAAGACCATCCAGGCGGAGGTAGACCTCAAACAGTACAATCGAGGTGTGCTGCCGATGCAAAACGTAGATGAAAACGGCAAAATGACCGTCTTCCCTGATATGGTTGAGCTCCCTTTCTTGCACGAAGTAAGTCATAGATTCAGTCTTACGTTTTTTACCGAGATTTCTGTCTTTTTTAATGTCTAGAAAGATTCAATAGCTGACATTTATTCAATATGATACTCTCTGTTAATCAATGTTTCAATGCAACCAGGCTGCCATCCTTTACAACATGAAGAGACGTCATTTGGACGATTTTCCGTACACCCGAACAGGTGATATTATTATCGCTGTGAATCCGTTTCAGTGGTTTACTCACATTTACACCGAGAAGGTCCGGGCTGACTATGCCAACAAGCTTGTATGGGAAGATCACGAGGGGGATCCTAGAAAGCTTGTCGATCCTCACGTTTACGAGGTTTCTTCTCTTTCGTTTAAAGGGCTTGCTTTTGGAAGAAAAGATCAGTCTATTCTTGTCTCTGGTGAATCAGGTGCGGGGAAGACAGAGACTGTGAAAATTGCTATGAATCACATCGCAAGTGTTCAGAGAGGAAAGGTTGCATCAAGTGGCGAAGCCTTTTCCGATCCCGTTGTGAATCGTGTTTTGGAATCTGGTCCGCTCCTTGAAGCATTTGGTAATGCCAAGACCAGACGAAATGATAACTCGAGTCGTTTCGGAAAATACACCCAGCTTCAGTTTGACCAATCCGCTGGTGGGGCATTGACGAAGAAGGAAGATGTCAAATGCAAGCTTGCTGGAAGCGTCTGTGATGTCTACTTGTTGGAGAAAAATCGTATCACCTACCACGATTCCGCTGAAAGAACTTATCATGTCTTCTACCAGCTCGTTGCCGCACCCGATTCGCAGAAGGCCGGATTCTGGTCTGGTTTGAAGGGAACTACAAACGAATCCTTTCGATACATAGGAACAGCCTGCACGGACACCATCGAAGGCATGAAAGATGGAGAACACTGGAAGCGGACAGTGGATATCTTGGAGCAGATTGGTGTGAAGGGAGACAAGTTGCACAGTTTATTTGAAGCGATTACTATTGTCTTGCAACTTGGTAACCTTTCATTTATGAAAGATCCTAGTGATGACGACAAGTCTGTAGTTCGGGACAAGAAGGAGTTTGGAGCTCTTGCAGGCCTGATGGGTGTAACAGAGCAAGATTTGATTAACTGTCTGACCGAACGAACCATGAAGACAAGAACGGAAAGCTATAAGGTCCCTTTGAATGCGGATGCGGCACAAGATGCTGCTGATGCTTTTGCGAAAGAAATCTATGCAAAGAGTTTTTTGTGGCTTGTTCGCGCGATCAACGATGCCACCTGCGCTGAAAACAACTTTGAGGGAGGTGGAAAAACAGAGTTTGGTATTATTGGTCTTCTTGATATTTTTGGCTTTGAATCCTTTGTTCGAAATCGATTTGAGCAGCTATGTATCAACTACTGTAATGAGAAACTACAAGCCAAGTTCACTGTGGATATCTTCAGATCGGTCCAAGAGGAGTATGAATATGAAGGAATTCCTCTTGACGAGATCAAGTTTGATGACAACACAGATGTCCTAGACTTGATTGAAGGGAAGACTGGTCTGCTCAGTATGCTTAACGAGGAATGCGTGCGTCCAAAGGGCTCCGACGAAGCCTTCGTCCAAAAGGCGTTTGCGGCCAACAAGAAGACGCCGTGTTTGATTGTTTCCAAAATGAACAGGAAAGAGTTTGGAATCCATCACTATGCAGGAAAGGTCATGTACGATTCAGAAGGCTTTGTTGACAGTAACAAGGATACTCTGCCTGCTGATTTGTTTGACTGTGCGCTAAACTGCAAGAATGAAATTGTTTCAAAGCACTTGACTACCGATAAATGCTCGAACCTTCCCGAGAAACAGTTAGCTGCGCCTAAACCTAAGAAGGGTCCTCCAAGGCGAGCGAAGTCGAATCTTGTCGCACCAACTGCTTGGAGTAAGTACAAGGGTCAGTTGGTCAAGCTTATGACTATGCTTGGTCAGACCAACTCCAGATACATCCGCTGTATCAAACCCAATGCTGCAAAGGTTCCTAGTATTATGCAGCATGTGAGCACCATCGAACAGCTTCGATGTGCCGGTGTTGTCGCTGCTGTAACCCTCTCTCGTTCAGCCTTTCCCAATCGTATCGAAAACAAGACTGCCAAGTTCAAATTTGCTTCCATGTGGGAACGAAGTAGGTTTCCATCCAAAGGAACAGATGATATGGAAGAAGCCGAAAAACTCAAGCATGATTGCACGGCTCTTTTGACTTGTGCTCTGAAGGATTTCAAGTCCAATGAAAAAGGAAGCATTTTCGTCGTTGGTAAAACACGATCTTACTTCCGAATGGGAGCTCTTGAATATCTCGAAGCTAACCGCACCAAAGAAATGGGATCGCAAGTGGTTTCGATTCAACGTTTCATCCGTGGCTGGTTCATTCGTAAAGAATTCGAACAAGCTGATAATAAGCGAAGAAAGGCCGTTGCGAAAATCCAAAAATGGTACCAAACGGTCACGAAGGAGATAGAGGCTGCAGCGAGAAACGCTAAAGCCAAAGCAGAACAAAAGGCGAGAGAAGAACGTGAACGTATTGCGAGAGAAAAGGCCGAAGCGAAAGCCAAGAAAGCTCTTGAACTCCGCCTCGCGAAAGAGAAGGCCGAGCGCGAGGCACGACTCGCCAGAGAAAAAGCGGAAGAAGAGGAACGCGAACGCAGAGAAAAAGCCGAGGCGGAGAAGAGAAGAAAGAGAGAAGAAGAAGCTGTCGTTAAGTTCGCCAAGGAGAAGGAGAAGAAGATCAAGAAATTCAAGAAGGACATCAAAACTCAAGAAAAAGAACTCGATGACAAGGAAGCGGTATGGGCTGCCGAGATCAACCATCTGGAAAAACGATGTGAGGAAGCCGAAAAAGCTCGCGATGACGTGTTGGAGCAGATTGCCAAGGAAGAAGCAAAACTTGCAGCTATGCCAACGCTCTCCGATGGCGACAAGAAGAAGCTAGCGGACAGTGCTGAGATCACCGGTCTCCTAAGAAAGGAAAACAAAAGGTTGCGCGCTTCTACGACTCAGTTGCGAAAAGACTACGATACAATGCAAGAAAACAACAAGCGTTTGCTGGAAGCAAATGCACTTGCTGGTGCCTCCTTCGAGGCGATGAATGAAGCGTCGAAGAAGGCTAACAACACCAACTCACAGTTCTTGAAGAATTTAGAGAAGTACAAGAAGCAAAACTCGAAGCTGAAGGAAGATATGAGGATGCGATCAGCTTATTACGATGCCGAAGCTAAGATTCGCAGAAACTACCAAAAATCGTTGGCTCATATCATGGAAATCATTCAAGATCAATGTGAAGATGCCCAACTTGTTGAGGATATTCTTGTCCTTGCTTTGGAGTGTGAGTCTGAAGCAAAGAGTGAGTTGGCTGCTGCCGAAGCAGAGAAAGCTCAATACCGCCGTTGAGTTGCCAGTGAGAAATTATATACATACAAAATAATGCAATATTGATTAAACGGATGCATTTAACATTATTCTATACTCCAAGTACGATTTTCGGATTCATTGATCAGTCAAAACAATGCAATTCCAAAGCATCTAGCGATGATGGCGCTTCTGGCACTTTAATTGAACTTTTGGAGTTCAGTTCATTGCGTCGACAATTTCTTTGCTAGTCTTTGGAATACTGAACATTCCGAAGTTATGTGCCAATGTAGCTTCTTGTGCTTCCATGCTGGTGGCCGCCATGCAGTCGCTGCGGGAAATATACAGGAAAAGATGCGGAAGAATCATAAGTTTGGAATGCATGACGCTTACCAACTCTAGCATGAAGCACCCTCAGTAGCTTTCGCTCCATCTTACCTGAGTGTGTAGACGTTGTAGCCCAGCTCGTATGCCGTGCGCATCGTACTCTCAACACAACTGGAAGCAAAGGGCATGAAAGAGGAGTGAAGAGATGAGAATGCAGGACCACTGGAAAGTACGATTCTCCTATAGTATCTTTGAATTGTTCAACATCTGAGATGTGTAGCACCTACCAGTTGGTCAAGAAACCACCAAGTACAACGTTCTTTGCGCCCTTTTGACGAAGCAAAAAGTCAAGGTTGGTGCCTAGAAATGATCAAAAAGAGCAACGCGGACAAAATGAAAAAACGAGAGAAAACACAAACGTTACCACAGCAAGGTTCCAAAGAAACAATAGCGATGTGCACCGATCGTAGCTCATTTCGATTAACCGACCCGATGCTTTGCAATACTCGTTGGGCGAACTTACTCGCGAAGGCACATAGACCAGACTTTCCTTTCACGGTCAAGTCTCCTTCCTGAGGCATCATATTGGCTGGTTAGTTACAAAAAAATATTTCAAACCGTGATTCGTGATGAGATTGGATTCTCGGGTTAGACTACCATTTCTGTTGTTTCACGCTCTAATTTCCGTAACCGTTCTAATGTGTACAATACGTACCGGAGAAATCAGCGCCCCATTCGCCTCGCGTAAAGGCACTTCCTTCCTTGACGCCAGCAAGGATTCCGTACGCAGTATCGGAAATCTCATCGTGGCCGGGCTCGAAGTTGATAGGTGCGTGGATGATTGTGGAGCCGCTCTAGCGGGCGGTATTGAGCAAAGAAGACGAGTTTTCGAGCACTGTTTGGCAGTGCGTGAGTGCGTCACCATATTCGAATGAATGCAGTGCAGAGAGAAAATATAGATTGACAAAGAGAAAGTGTAAGGCGAGTTTCTCTTCAGTCTACTTTATATTCAACGAATTACCTACGATCTATTTTCAAGACAATTCCTTGGCGTGGTCTTACTATTCGTTTTTTCCATCACGTCCTTTGAGGATCAAAAAGAGAAAAATAACGCGTCAGAAGTACGGATGAGTTTCGTCAACTTATGAACCATTTGATTCCAAATAAATGAATACTCAGACTGAATAAGATACCTCAGGAAAAAGCCTTAGAGTAATTATCGATGCGCACGTACCTTCACGGCATCATGCAATTTGCCTCCCTCCTGTTTCCGATAGGCACATTTTTGCATCGATGGAACGTTACAAGCCATGTGAGAAGAAGAATTCACATAAAATAGAAGAATCGCTGCTGTACGTTTCAAACAATCAATTTCCACCGCGAAATTCGCTTACCGTAGTGAATTCGTTTTGGTATTCGATAAAGACAAACGCGGTTTCTTTTGGATCAAGAGAAAAATCCTCTCCTGCTGTTCCCTCAGAGCTCATGCACAGAGTGCTTCCGAAATAAGAAAAAGTACCTTTGGTCGACACCGCTGGTGCAGTAAACCCATGGGTTGCGGTCACCATAAAGGACGCCGCCAACGTGGTTTTCGTGATAGAAGAGAAAATCATTGTAGCTTTATTTGTTCGTTGTTTAGGTTGAAAAAGTTTCAGTGAAGAAAAATAATAGTACCGAACGGTACATACTCTACTTGCCGTGATCTTCAATTTAGATGGATTTTGAGATACGAACTGTCTGATGACGACCAAAGTACAGGTTAAGAAGTTTCAAAGATCGAGAACACGCACAATTGGCACGCTAACGCAAAAAACTTGCTTCAGTGCAAAAACTAAGTTCTTGCTAGAATAGTGCTCCTATGTCAAGTGCAGTAAAGTCAAGTACGAAGTACTTGTACTTGGCAGTAGAGCTATTAATGGTAAGTCCCATACTGGCAAGTTATTGGCAATTCCGAACCTCCAGGGCCGGCTGGCTTGCCTGCCATGCGCATGTACCCCCTGTACATTCAGTACTGCGGTATTAATTATACGTAATCTACGTACATATTTTTATACAGCGAATCAGTACTGATGCACCTCCATCCAATGCTGCACCTCCACCGTCAAAATACGAGCAAACACATCAAATCGCCTTCCTTCTCCGGAAGCAAAACAACGAAAACGCCGCAAGCGTTCATTCATACTCAACCGCAAGCGTTCATTCATACTCAACCGCAAGCGTTCATTCATACTCAACCGCAAGCGTTCATTCATACTCAAGCGAAACGGCTGTTAACAGTCTCATACTCAAGCAAACGGCTCTCGCGTTTGCGGATACTCAAGGGACCGGCGTGCGACGCTTCGATACTCAAGCAAACCGCTCTTGCGTTTGCGGATACTCAAGGGACCGGCGTGCGACACTTCGATACTCAAGCGAAACGCCCGTTGACGTACTGATACTCAAGGGACCGGCGTGCGGAGGCTTCGATACTCAAGCAACCGGCCTGCGACGCTTCGATACTCAAGCAAACGGCTCTTGCGTTTGCAGATACTCAAGGGACCGGCGTGCGGAGGCTTCGATACTCAAGCAACCGGCCTGCGACGCTTCGATACTCAAGCAAACAGCTCTTGCGTTTGCTGATACTCAAGGGACCAGCCTGCGACGCTTCGATACTCAAGCAAACAGCTCTTGCGTTTGCTGATACTCAAGGGACCAGCCTGCGACGCTTCGATACTCAAGCGAAACGCCCGTTAACGTACTGATACTCAAGCAAACGGCT